TGCTGCGGACGTGCTAATTTGTATAAATTTTGCAACTTTCCGCTAGTTTTTCATTGTTATGTAAATAGTTTTTATTGCAGCGCGATAATTAGGTAATAATAATGATTATCCAACATGTGGCAGCATTTATTGGCTTCGCTGCAACACAATTAAATTATGTTGATTTTTATGCAGTAATTGCAGATTTGTTTGCGCTTGAAACTGAATAGAGGAGAAATACAGCAAATGTATTCAGACAATTCGCACTCAATAAAGAATTCGCTAACTAAAAACAAAATTATTTTTCTTTTCACCATTAATCAAAGTTTTGTTTTTTTGTTTTTTTTTTCATTGAGACTGTGCAAAGCGCAAATTTTTTCCAAACTATTTAATATTGAAGCAGCTGCTGCGATAATAAAAAAAAAAAATTTTGAGCATAGAGAAACATTTTATTTAAATGATGCTCGAATACCCTTTCTGAATTAAAATGAGGAGCACAAATTTCGTATTTTAACAGAATACATTCAAAATTTGAAATCATTTTTACTTTATTGTGAACAACTTAAAATAAATTTCTAAAAAAAAATCAAAAATAAAATCCCCAAACAATTCAATTTAATCTCTGTAATTGCAATAAAAATGTGAATTAACTAACTATTTGAATAAATAAATAAATATTTTCAGCATTCCAACTATTCAAAGAGGAAAGCTAAATAGCAAATACTGGAAAACTTTTCCCTTGGCAATTATAAATTACGCATACGCAGCGTGGCGCGTGCAGGCAAAAACTAATTTGAGCCAAAGCAAGCTAAACACGAAAAAAAAAAACAGGAAAAATAGGAGCGAAAAATAAACGTATTGCTCAACTGTGCATAAAGCAATGTGGCCTTTGGCCTCCAGTTGCTCTGACTGGCAAGCGCTTTGTTGTGGCTTATTGAGATCCGGTCAGTGCTTTGGTATTTATCGGAAAATAAAAAGCATTGGCTTTGGTTATGAAATTATATGCTTACCGCAAGCTTTTGCTGTGGCTTGCCGCCCAATGGCCAGCCAGCGCATAGAAGCACATAGAACAAGGCGCATCAATCAGGCCAGTTGCCAATCATCCCATATGAGCAGACGTTGCTGCAGCTGAACGCTGGATGAACTCACCGCAAGCTGTGACGCAGTTCGTGCAAGACGTGTCTCAATAACAAAATTAACAGAAATTGCAACATATTGTTGCATGTGGCTGAATTAGGGACCAGGGGGTGGAGAGAGCGGAGCGGCGCCGGAGCAGCGGTGCCTTTCGGTGGGCGGCACGTGCGTCTGTGGCCAGCAGCGCACCACAACAAGTTGCAAGAAAAATCAACTGTGACCAAAAACTTATTTGACAACTGTCAATGGCAACAAAGTCTGCATTAGAATTGTGGTTTCAGTGCCACAGTAAAAGCTTATTTCTGAACAAAAATTGAGGACAATTTTTATGAATGACATTTTAAAAACTTATTTCACTTAGCCCTGCTGCAAATTTCAAATAAAAGTCTGCCTCACAAAAATGTATTAAATTTATTATTTAATGGCAAAAATATATCAGAAATGTTTAGAAACAAATTATATTTAAAACTTTTTTTATGAATAAAATAAAACTTAAAAGAAAAGTATCTATGCGTTATTTTTTTAATATAATTTTAAAAAATATATATATTTTTAGATAATTTAAAAAAAAAAAACAAAAAATTTTATTTTATTTTAATCAAATAAAAAAAAAAGTACATATTAAACAAAAATTGTAAATAAATAAACACATATAAAATTAAATGCAAATAATAAATAAATAAAAACTACAATTTCCATAAGAAACCCTTCTTTTCTTTAGGAAATTATATAAGAGAATTAGAAATGAATATAAATTATGTAATATCCATTTTCCATAATATTCAACTTATAATAGAAACAATAAATCATTCACAAAATTAATAATAGTAATGAGCCTGCTTAAACATAAACAATTTTCCATCATTCAGTTTATTACTGATGATCCCATTTAGCTGTGTGTTTTGGCCAGTGTAACTAACCCACAATCAAAAACTTCAAATGCAACTTTTACACAATGACGCACAGCTTGAGCTCATCTACAGCAGCAACAAAATAACAACAACAACAACAACAGCAGCAAGAGAAACAGCAGCAGCTACAACAACAAACATGCTTAATGAAGCGACTCTGGCTCAGAGCGGGCAGCAATAATGACAAGAGGGTCACAGCCCTTAGGCAACTGTTGCCCGCCCAAACCCTAAAGCTGAGCTCGTTTCACGCCCATTCACACTGACAGACAGCTATGAACAACCGTACTGTGGGTTGTCACTCTGCGTGAGCGTGTCAGAGTGAGAGTGTGTGAGTGAGAGAGTGTGTGTGTGTGTTTGTGTGGTGTGGGTGCAGAACTCTGCAACACATGTGGCCAACAGCTGAACCGGCAGCAGTGTTCGCAGCACCCATTGAATAGCATAGAAATAGAAATAGAAATAGAAATAGAAATAGAAATAGGAAAAGCAAAACGTACGTGCAAAAATTTGTGCGCTTGATTAAATTTGGAGTCGGCGAATGGTTGAAAGCCAAAAGGGCGACGCCGTGACCAACGGCCACGGCCACAAGTGTGAGCCAAGAGTTGAAAGACAATCAGGCGGCAATTTAAAACCATTTTCACTGCGGCCAACGGACAGCCACAGTCTACGGTCCGCTGTCCACGATCCGGCCGGCCGCACCTGCTGCGCCAGTCGAGCAGGCAGACAGTTCTGCAGTAACTTCTGCTCGATTAGCTTTGATTTGGTTATTCGGCATTAGGCAATATGCTTTTCGCTCTGCCCAATCTAAATCGTTTTTCTCCATTGGCCCAGGAAAATAACTAATTTCCCCAAAAAATCAAGCCAGCTGCTTTACGGAGACAGCTACGCGGAGAGAGTTTGGATACAAAGTTCATCTTCAGTTTGTCATGGCCACATGCTGCGGAAATGCCAACAAAGAAGGACTCCAAGGACTCCACACTCTGCTGCTTTTATTAACGTATTGTGGAGCATTTGACTGGATAAATATAAAAATGTTTCATAGAGCATTTAAAAGATTTACTATTTTAATAAAATATTGCCTTCAATATACAGTGTAAGAAAGAGCAGAAGAGATGGGGAGATGGAGTGAGAGAGAGAAAGGAGAGGTTAAGAGAGAAAGAGACTTCTGAACTAGAAGGACTAAATGAAATAAACATATGCTTAAGAGCTAAAGAGCCTGAAAATAATTTATATTTAAATAAATTTAATCAACAATTTAAAAAACAAAATAATAAAAAATTTGATATTTTATAAGTCATTTATAAACATAGTATATATATTAGTCTTTCTGTTGTCAATAACAATTTAGCTGTAAATTGAATTCCTGACCGAGTTCATATTGCGCATTGCGTTCGTGTTGGTCAGTTGCGGCTGTTGGTCACAGCTGGCGTATACTTAATATCAGTTAGTGGCACGTTTTTAATGCCAAAATCAGAATAGCCGCAGCGTGTTAGAGTGTCTACGTGGCTGAACGGACAAGTTGTACTATTTCAAATTACATTTCTGTGCTAGCTGAACGCACAAGCCAAGGCGCAACAAGAAGTAAGTATTAAGACATTTAGGAGTTGGTCAGTCAGCGAGTCACTAGGAGGAGGGGGGTGAGAACGCCAAGTTCCAATGGGAGCCATGTCTAATGCCTCGTGGCCCGTGCTTTGTGCTTCGTGTCGTTAGCGTCGAGAGTCGACCCTTAACACCTCTATAATTTGTCATAAAAGCCGAGTCGAGAGAGCTCGAGCGTTTGTCGCACATGTTGCGGGTCTCTGAATGAAAGGCATTACACTTCCGCTAAATGTCGCTATTATTTAACAATTTTGTTTATGTACGCTACCCATGCTAGCCCCAGATGCTTCTTCAGGCACCCTGCGACTCTAATGCATACACATACCCTATAAGAAATATAATTTATGGTTACTCTGGCTACGCAAAAAGCAGCAGGTACACCAGCAACAGTAACAGCAGCAACAGCAACAGCAGCAGCAGCAGCTGGGGAGAAACTAAATTGTCGTCGTCCTTGTTGTTTGACTCGCAACAAAAAGTGGGAAAACAATTACAACTGACTTAACACTTCCGTTGCTTGTTGGAAAAGCCGTACACGTTTATCCTACACATCGTTGGAGGGATCTGATGGAGACGAAGCGACGCAGCGAGAGGGGGCGTAACGCACTTCGCCCCGTCTAGCACTTGAAATTATAGTTTAACACGTACACAGGTGTAGTTCGTACTACAGGTAGCTCCTTATGTGGGTGGCCAGCCTAGCACGTGGCAACATTTGGCACAACTTGACTTGTCCTGCGTTAAGTTGGAACCAAAACAATTCAGTTTTTTATTCCTACCAAGGAAATTCATTAAAATAGTAATAATCTCTAAAATATATAAATAATGAATTCAATTAAATTCAAGTAAAAGTATATAATCTAGATAGAGCTCTATTAAATTCCATATGAAAAACTTCATAAATGAGAACATTTATATTATATTTGTGTTTCATGAATAACATTTTATTGATTTGTTTATGATTATAAATCAAGTATATGTATATATATATGTATACAAAAAACAGCAATAAAAATGTTCCAAAAATATTCGCTGAATAATAATGTAAAGCACCTTAATGAAATAAATTATGTTAGGCTCTCCTTTGTGCAGCTTATGACTAAAATTATTTGCTTTACATGAGACAATGGATGCACTTTTCGATATATATTTTAATCGAATTCATCGATATATTATCGATGTACTTGAAAGCTCACTTTGTAAACGAATCAAATGTAAATGTGGCGCAGAAAATAAATAAGAACAATAAAAAAGATTGTTGCCAATGTGAATATCGATAAGTGAATACGGGACTTAAAAACAAAAGTAATATGCCGCTAAATAATAAATTGTTTCAACACAATTGAAATTTGTTCTTTGGAGTATGTACATGACATATAAAAAATAAATAAAATATTTGATGTTTCGGCCTAGCTAAAAGTGAAATGAAAATGTTTCGTCTTCCTGAAAACAGTTGGCTGTCATAAAAATAAAGCATAAATCGATTGAACAAAACTGAGTTTGTGCATTAGATTAAACATGAAAATATAAAAATAAGAAAAATAAATAAAATACTTGATGATGCTTGAGACGTACCTTAAGTTAACGATGTAAAATTCAGTGTAAAATTCGTTTAACTAATATTCAATATTCGAATACACTGCGTTACGACTAATAATTTGTTGAAATATTTCGAATATGATTTCAAGCCAATAAGCTAACTATTCGGTAGGTCATGAAAAACTGTTACGCCTTATACAAAGGTGCGAACACAAAATTGGCGTTACTTTAAAGGAGTCGACGCGACTACGCGAAGGCAAAGTAATTGCTGATCGATTTCTGAAATATTACATTTGAATATCTTACGTACAACTTAATCATAAGTTAAATATTGAAATTATGTATACATAATACATATATACATGTATGTATATGTATGTAAATAAGTATGAATTTCATATTCAATCAGTGCTTTACAATGATGCGTATTGTAAATAGTTTGTGTGAACAGTTGTGTTGATGGCAATTGTGCGCTTGCTGATGATTCGAGATACGTTACATTTCACAACTCCAGAAAATGGTTACGTAGGCATATGTGGTGGCAAGCACTCTAAAGTAATCCTGATGCGATTCGAGGCAAAGCTTAGATATAACTGGGCGGCATGAACTTTATATGTATGTGGGGGCGATTCGTCAGTTTACTTCGGCGATTCCGGCGGAGCGTTGGCGCTGCCAAAGAGCTCGTCGTAGGAGGGAGCTGCAATTGATTGGAGAATTAAAGCAATCTAATCCCAATGTAATCTCATCGTAAGTCTTACGCAATGCGTGCGCGCCGGCTTGGTGGCGGGACTGCATATATGAACCAGATGCTGCCGACGTGGACGGCAGTTGGCTATAGCCACTGGCTCCAGCTGGAGGCTGCGCTGGCGGAGGCGTCAAGGCAAGCAGCGTATACTGCGGCGACTCGGGCAACGGGTACGGGGGCAGATGCGGCGGTGGATACGATTGCACCATCAGCGGGCTGGAAGCATAAGGCATGTAGGGCACATTGGAGCTGCTGCGCAGGCTGGCCCGGGCCGAGGGGCTGCCAAACTGCGACGATTGCGAGCCGGATGTGTAGGACAGCTCCACGCCACCAACGGCCGGACTCAGCGTGGAGTCCGAGGCGGTGGAGTTCAAGGAACTGCACTCGCTATACACCGACGAATGCGATGGCGAGCCAATGGAAGAATCTAGTGTTGGATACACAGATGCAGGAACAGCTGGATCGATGGGATTACCAGGCGCAGGAGCGGCCGCCACAGCCGCAACCTCATCAATCCCCGGAGGACCATTGTCAGGACGTGGCGGCAGCGACGGACGCACCGAGCCCAGCCTGGCGGAAACATCCTGCGAGTAGACCTTGAACGGCAAGTTGAGCACCAAATTCTTAAAGAACCCACGCAGGACAGCCTCAACGCGCAGCTCGTAGGATATGGTTATGACGCCGCTGAACTGCTCATCTGTTGGCTGCGCCGTGTCCGGCATCAGCAGCTCGTGGGCAAAGCTCCGTTCGCTCTTCTTGCTCACCGCACCCGTCTCCTTGCTGGCGATCGCAATGCACTCGACCTTTTGCACACGCAACGGCACATGACTGTAGTAAGTGACGTACTGCAGTATGCTAACGAAAGGCAATTTGTACAATTCTATTAGCATATCAAAACATGTATCAAATATGTATATATATTTATAGTATGTGTACAACGTGCTGACTGTGAGAGTAGGTACGTAAAAGGAAAAACAGCCCACACACCGGGAGCTTGCTCTTTCAAGATGCCTCTCTGGGAGAGAGATTGGTTTTTCCCGTGTATATGTATTACGTGTCTCTATATTTGTACAGCTATGGCAGCAGTCGGAAGTCTCTCAGGTGATTTAAATACAAATAATCTTCTTGGTAGGGGATATCCTCTAGTCGGTCAATTTAATTTGATTAAGTAGTATTTCAGATAAATAGATGAAAAATAAGATTGCTAGTTAGAGAGTATTTCCTAGTCGCCCAACCCTGTTTGCTGCTCTTATACCTGTTCAAATATTCAACAGATTCAAGCTTCAAAGTTAAGTTTAAGTTGAATCTCCACAGTGACAACACATTTAAAAATCAGGTTAGATTTTGACAAGCACTTTAACCCTGACTTACTTGAAGCGCAGCTTCTCCACATTCGTCGTGCTGTTGTTCATGACGGTTACGCAGATTCTCAATGGTTCGCCGCGTACGGCAAAGTCCTCGGGCAGCAGGGCCAGCATGGTAATGGGCCGAGTGCCAAATAGGCTAATTGTCTTGGTGATTTGCTTCTCCAGCGGAGTGGGATTATTGCGATATGTCGATGGCAAAGGCATATTCTTCACAACCGTAAACGGTATAGTGTGCCGTTCATCAAAAGTCCAGGGTCTTTGAATGAGGACACGCATCTTGTACTTGATGCTGCCATGGCTACCGCGGAAGCTCGAGGGCAACTCACGACCCAGCGCTACATTAAAGCTAAAAGTGTGCTCGCCAGGAGACAGTTCGAGCCCGCGAGGTTCGAATTCGGGCAGAGGCGTTTCGCTATGCTCGTAGATCTCTTTGCTGGTGTAGAAGAGGCTGCGCGTGTATTCGTTGTTGTTGGAGTTTTTGCGCAAGATTTCCATCCATTTGCATTTGCCTTTGCCAGTCACCTGGATTTTAATAGCTGTGAAAAGACAAACGTATTTTATTAGTAACGATAAATTAAAACACGCAATAGCGACATCTGTCGCAATTTTCAACAACTAGGCAACGCACAGCGTTACTGTTATATTTATTGGTTTGTTTCTTGGCTAGCGAATTAAGTTTACAGCTAAAACCCATTTAAGCTTTGCACTTATTCTTTAAATGAAGTCTTTATAATAATTTTATTGAATTCCGAGGCAAACATCAATTTACTATATCAAATATGAGTTTTTACACATATTTGTATTTCATATGTATATTCTTTTCAAAAATTGAGCTCAACAGCTGACGATGATGCCATCTATTTAGTAATACTGTTGGTTCGCGCCTTGGCTAAAAATACAAATTCCACATTTGTTTACTGTTTGTGATTGACCCCAAAACGTTAATAAATGAATTTAATAAAATTATAATTTTAAATTGGTACTTAATAATTTTTAAATAGAATCCAATTATGTGCTTAAGCAGTTTTTTAAATTTTAAATAAACAAGATTATTTTTAAACGTGGCAACACTAATGCATATCGATAGTTTTATTGAAGTCTTTTAAAAAAGAACTGCCAGAGTTGCCACGTAGTTAGTGAACAAAAAACACGATTTTTCATCGGGCATTGTAAAACATATATCAAGCCATTTAACTTAATTGTCTGAGGCTAAAACAGGCAAGTAACTATAATAATAGCAAACTCACAAATTAACTTCTGCAGCTATAAATATATGAATTCATTGTGCAGCAGCACTGACAAACGCATTTACCCAGCAATCAAATTTATCATGCGTGTTTTCAACAATTTTTTTCGTTTGCGTTCAGGACATTTGCACATAGTGAAAATTGTAATGGACTGTAACTGAATACTGCCGGTTAACAATATGAATGCCAACTATATATCTCGTGCACTGAGCTACCATGGCCAGCCATTACAGAAGATCTGGGACGATGAGCGCGGCGTCGAGGATCTACGCCGGCTAAATCTTACGCAGCCCAACTACAGCATTTACCAGGAACGACAGAAGTATTTCACATTTCAGGAGCGGGCCAAACGTTTGAAAATCCATCAGTTTTTGGCAAGAAAGGCAGCGGATCTGTATGACCGGCAGCTGGTAGGCAATGTAATGGAGGACTCGTGGTTAGCTCAAATGAGCAACTGCTATGCCCCACAGCCCCCGATCGAGTTCTATTTGAACCCAAAGGACAAGCGAAAGGCATGGGCGTATCGGATGAGTGCCCTGAAACAGGGAGACATTGTGTTTGCTTCGGTTCAAAAGGTTGTACCGAACACGAATCGAATTATAGTCAAACCGTTGTGCACAGCAGAGCCAATGCACTTCTACCTAGCTGATATACCCATCAAGGTGCGCAAGCAATGAGCAGTTACTGTTCGGATATCATTTAAATAACAATTTTATTTTAGGCGATCATCATGCAAGACCATTGGGGTCCTTTGCCACTGGACAAACAGGGGAATCCACAACCATTTTCTATCAACGATTTCCTACGCTGCGAAGTTTGCAGCGTGTCGGCGGACGTGGAACGCTTGACTCTAGGCATGCTGGGCGTCTACAATAAGACGTCATCTGATCTCAAGCTGGGCCTATGTGATCTGACAGATTTGCCCAAATACTATCGGTGTGTGAACCTGGCCAATAGCATTTACCATTTCCACTCATTTAACGTTTCATGATTTGTGCTTAGTCAAATACGTAATCTGGAGCCAGGCAGTGCACCGCACTACGAAGATCAGTTGAATGCAGCGCTGGAATTTGAGAATCCCAACTGTGATGTGCTCTTCCAATTGAATGGACTGCAGCCCAATGAGAATCTTACGTTAATGAGCCACATTAAGCATGGCTTTCCCGAGTCGGATTATGCGCCGGAACTGCGGCAAAAGCAGGCTTCCCAATGGGCATTCCGGTAAGTGTTGAAGAAACCTAACTCACGGCTGGTCGCTGATATTATGTAGCTGACCAGCCCTGAATTGGCAGACCTTTAGTAGCTAAGATATGCATTAGCAAATGTATATATAATTATGTCCGTATATTCATTGCAAACACACACACACACACTATCAAACCCACACACTGAAAAACTCGCACAATATAATATCAGCTCCGTGGCTGATGGCATTGAGCACTTTAAGAACGGCCAACAAGTCGAGGCCTTTCAGTGCCTCAACAAGGCCCTGAACATTGATCCGCGTAATGTCGAAGGCTTAGTGGCGCGCGGTGCATTGTACGCGAATCGTGGCAGCTTCTTGAAGGGTCTGAAAGACTTTGAAAAGGCGCTAATTTTGAATAAGTACCATGTGAATGCGCGTAAATATATGGGCGAAACCCTGGTGGCACTCGGACGCAGCTATGAGGAGGAGAACCGCATACCGGATGCCATCAAGGCTTACAGCGATTGTCTGAATCTATTGCCCCAACATGAGCAGGCGCGCATATCCCTTGATGCACTGCAGCAGCACCGAGCCTCTGCAATTGGCGGCACCAGCGCCAGCTCTAATCCCCTGGCCGTGCAACGCAGCACCGAATTGCTCAATTTGCCCAACGCAGCGGGCGGAACTGTGAACCTTGCCTCCTCGGACGAGTCCAGTTCCTCTAGTGCCAGTGACAACGACAACGACAGTGAAGAGCAGCGTAAGTGTCAGCTATTTGGCTACCAGAATTCACTTCAACCAACCTATTTTATATTTTAGCTGTCAAATCGCGTTCCCATCTGCCTGTAGAGCAGGACAAGAATGCCATTACCGATTCTCTGTCGGCCAACGAATTCAAGCTGGACGACGACGACACTGTGACCAGTGTGCGTCGGCTGTTGCGCGAGGCCAGCAAGCACAAGAAATCCAAAAAGAAGGGCAAAAAGAAGAAGGACAAAGACAAGGAACGCAAGGAGAACAAGAAATCTAAGTCAAAGTCAGCGGATGAAGTTGAGCCACTCACAAGCACAGAGGCCGCACTCGAAATGCTCAAGAAAATTGATCATGCGGCGGCGTTCAGGTAATTGCGTGTATGACTTCATAAGCAGATCAAAGAACAGATTGTGAAGGGTCTATGGATTGACAAAGTGTTCATCTAACATATTGATTGCTGTTATAAGCCCCATTCATGATCTGATCTTTGACCCGCTTTGACTGCCCGCAAATAAAGTTGATTTAATAATTGCGCTCTCCCATGCATGACGAATTAGCCGGAATAAGTATGCTAAGTGAGTCGCCTCTTGTAGCTGTCACATTTTATCTGTTTCCTTTTTACCAACAACCTTTGCAGGATCATGAGCACCAGCAGCAGCGAAGCCCAGCGGAAGGCACAGTTGCAAATGTATTTCAAGCAAATGCAACGCCCAGAAACGCCCCCACCTCCGCCTACGGCTACACCAACCACATTGCGTAACCAACCATCGTCATCAGCGGGAGGAGGAGGATATAGCCTGATGATGGGACCAAGCACTTCTAAATATGCGGCCACTGCAGCTGCCAACTTGGACGATGATCACCCGCCGCCAGCGCCCAAATACCATATGCAGCAACAGCAACAACAACAACAGCAAAAGCTCTCTTTTCAAATTAAGAAGCGTCCGCTGCAGATGGACAAATTCGGCTTGCTGCGTCTGGCCACGCCGCTGAGCTCGCACTCACAGAGTCGCAGTCGTAGTCGTAGTCGTTCTCCCAGACGACGCACAAGAAGCCGCTCTCGTGACCGACGCTCATCGCGTCGGCGCGGCGGCAGCTCTCGTTCTCGCAGTCGTAGCAGGAGCCGCAACACTCGAAGCCGCTCGCGCTACTCGAGATCGAGAAGACGACGCACTCGTAGCCGTAGTCGCAGTCGGAGTCGCAGCTATTCGCCCGTTCGTTATGGCGGCGGAGGACAGCGCTACAGAGGACGTGGATTCAAGCAACGCTTTGGAAATCGTCGCTCTCGCTCACGTTCCTATGGTCGTGCACGACGCACGCCATCTCCGTTCGTGCCGCGTCGTACACCGTCGCCGTTTGTGCAGCGTCGAACGCCTTCGCCCTTTGTGCCACGCCGCACACCATCGCCAACCTCACGCTACCGACGCACTCGCTCTCGATCACGCAGCTACAGTCCACGACGCCATCATGGGCCCATGCGTTATACACCGCGCGGTCGGGGGCGTGGCCGTGGACGCTTTCAGAATCGCTGGCACTTCGACAAGCGGAACAATGGTCGGCGGTTTAGTCCTTCACGGAGCGTAAGTCCACCCGGAGACGGGCCCACCATCGAGGAGGTGGACGAAATGATCAAGGAAGCACAAAAGGAGCGCAAACAAGGCATTATTGAGAGCGACAAGGATATACTAAAAAAGAAGGCCACAAACACAGGCAGTGACAAGGCCTAAATATTCAACTACAGTCGCACATCCAGTGTTAAGTTCTATTATGTATGCTCAATAGTCACTCCAAATGTAATTGATATCCGTTAAATCAACTAAAATAATACCATGGACACCAAAATAAAGATGCTTGCAAAGCAAATTTGTTGCATGGTATGCATGCGTTACAAATACAATCGAAATTCTACTTTTCATAACTTTTTTAAATATATGTTATGCTTCTTATAATGTCCTGTATAGATATTCCGCAAGGGTAAGCAAAACTATTTTTTAATATACCTGTTATTTGAATATTAAAAAAAATAAAAAGAACATTCAAATTGTCTAAGCAACTAATAATAATAAAAAATATATATATTTTTTTTTGTAATATTTTAATTTTATAAGTATATATATGTATATTGGGTTTTGTCCGTCTTGCTATCCGTCCTTCATAGTCGGTAACTACCGACCACAATTTGTTTTATTTTTAGATTTTTTTATAAAAACAAAAAATAAAACACTTTTGTTTATAATTAAAGTGACATTTCCTCACATGCGAAAGCAATGTTTACCTAGAACATTATCAATCCACATACACACATATGTATATGCTTTACGGTATTTGTTTACAGGGTATATCTGCGAATTGTTACCGATATCAACAGTTGATACATTTCATTGTGTTCTTAGCTTACTGCTCACACACTGACACATGTGCAATTAAATTTCTATTAATAACAACGCGTGGTGCGCTCCTCTCCGAGCTCTCTTACAACCACAGCAAACAAACTGTGATTGCTCAAACCGGCTATTCACATTTGTTGGCGCTCTCTTATGCACCAATACATTTGGAGCCCAAAACTAGCAGAGAGCGAGAGAGGGTCGTAGCTTTCGATGTGTTAGTGCACCACAGTTACTGCAGTCGCCTAACAGAAAATTGGACGAGCAACGCGCATGAAAATTCGGGACACAAAACGAAGTTCAAACCGAACCCGAGATAAAGCGTATGCCCCCGTTTGAATTCAGTTGATATTTGCCTGCCGGCAACAGCAGAAGCAGATTTTGATACCCACATCAGTGGGGGAATGTGTGTGTCTGATTGTGTGCCTATGTTTGTGTGTGTATATTTGTTAGCGCACAAGATTTTGATTTAGAATAATACGCAACAAATTCTAATAATTATTATAATTAGTACGCGAGCTAAAATTGAATACAAATAATCAACCGTAACAGGTAGTGATCTACATTTACCGGTTATTAAAAATATACATATATATATAATTATAAACGAATTTTGGGTAAGTAAAATAAGGAAGCAATAAAAAATTGTCATTGCTTATTTACATAAGTGCTTAATTTGCGTCCAATTCGAAATGCGAATGAATGTGAAAAGCAAAACTATGAAATGCAAGAAAATTGCGAAAACAGAATTAAGATGCCGAGCAAAACAACACGCGGGGCTTTTGTTTGGACTTTGAACGATAAGAGCGCACCCACCACAACAACAAGAATAGCGAGACACAATAAAAACAACAACTACGAGAAGACAAAGAACTTGAAAAAGCCACGCTTGTAGTTGTTGTTGTGAATGCGCTACACTATGGTTGTCATGTGAAGGCTTATGGGCACGAAAAGGCCATAGGTACGAGAGACAAAAAATAAAGATTAGCACATTTATGATTTGTTATTTTTGTTATTATTGTTAGGGCTTATCAAATGTCCCAACTTATATTTATATTTAATACTGAAAGCCAGCTAATGTACTAAAATATTATTTTCGTAAGGAGTGAACAGAAAATATTTCTTTAGCACCTCGCTTGATAAACAAATAATTAACAATTTCAAGCTTTGTAAAACTTTTTATTGATTTTTCCTATTAATATGATCTATAGAAATAATAAGAAAACAGAATATTTCAAAGCTCTCAGCTCGTTATCAAAATAGACAAATAATCATGCAAATGAACTAATATTTCTATTTATATGTCTTTCAGCGTAAATTCAATAAAAATATCATTTATTCATTATGTATACGAAAATATTTCGTGCTGTGATAATCGGCGCTCCCGGATCGGGAAAAGGCACCATCTCGGATCGTATTGTGAAGACGTTCGGGTTTCTCCACATTTCCTCGGGGGACATTCTGCGCCAGAATATCATCAAAAATACCGACCTGGGCAAGAAGGCTCAACAGTACATTGCCTCCGGCCAGCTGGTACCAGATGATATTATGACCAAGACAATGATCGCCCGCATCACCGAGGTGGGCAACAAATCCTACATTTTGGATGGCTTTCCCCGTAATAGTGCCCAAGCCGATATTTTGGCGGCACGTGAACAAATTGATGCCGTTATCAACTTGGACATTCCACATGATGTGATCATTGAGCGTGTCAAGCATCGTTGGATACACGCCCCATCTGGACGTGTCTACAATATAGGCTTCAACGATCCGAAGGTGGCGGGCAAGGATGATATAACTGGCGAGCCACTGACCCAACGCGAGGACGACAAACCGGAGGTGGTGTCCAAGCGTTTGCAACTCTACGATGAACTAATGGGTCCCGTGCTGGCCTGGTATGCTGAACGTGGTCTGGTAACCAGTTTCAAGGGTCGCGAAACTAAGGAGATTTGGCCACGCGTCGAACGTTTTCTTAAGGACAAAGTCAACATGGGTTAAGAGGAGTAGGGTATTATGGCAACAACGAAACAAACACTTCAATTAAGTGCACAAATTTTATTCAATATTGATAGGCAGCTGTTGCTAAGATGTGTTCAATTAAGGTCTAACATATATATTAGATTTATATATATGTTGTGCGTGATAGAGTAGGGCTAATAGAAGGGGGTTTACGGTTCATTGAAACTAATCAAATGTAATTGCGAAGCCTTACAAAGTAAAAACGAATCAAAATAATGAAATGTGTCCAAATGTATATTTTCCTTGCCATATACATGTGTATACACTGATTATGAGCTATATAACCCATCCAAAACATTCCCCTAATAAAAAGAAAAATGTTTTGTTTTGATATGAATATTATATATATATAGTTATATGTATGTACATACGTGTATAAACGCTTCTAAGTAGGTGCTCTGATAATAAATCATTTCCTTTTCTTGTTTTGTAATATTGCTCATTGATAACGTAGTTGCTGATTTTCACATGGTGCCATAATAGATATGGCAAAATACTATTTTTGGCCCACGTAACACAGAACACTTATTTTATAATAGCGAAATTTACGATCTATGGCTTCATTTATGCGCATCACTCGAACGCCTTGCTTGTTGGCGTGTAGGGCACAACAGCTGTCAAGTGTGGCGCTCTCGAATTCTCTCTCACACAACACGCGCAACATAGATGAAGTACATAATAATGAAGCTAACCAAGCAGACGGAAGCCATACTGCTCTCAATCTGTCACACACTCTCTCGCTCTCTCTCTCTATCTCTCTCTCTCTCTCTCTCCCTTTCTTTCGTTTCTCTTATATCTCTCTTCTCTAGCATTAACTACGATTTCTGTAAAACAGCATGTTAGGTGTAAACAAAAGAATGCTGATGCAGCTGATGACGATATATTCAGTTACTAACAGGCTGCTGTTTTTATTCACAGCTTTGATAAAAGCAGCTGCCTAGCTGCAGTAAGTAATGCAGCATTATCGCAAAAGAGTATTGATACGAATTGATCCAATTTCATGCACTTGTTTAATGCACTCAAAGTTTGCAAACAATGCTGCAGTAAGGTAGGTAGGGACATTTTTCTAGCCAGCACTGTATTGAGAGCAAAAGCTCTCTTCATCTGATAGACCATTATTACGGCATTTTTAGTCAGCACACACAAACATACCCGCACGCACACATTCAGTGAGAACGTTTACTCGCTTACACTACACTTGCACCCTGCACGCCGCTCTCTAAGTGAACCCGCGCGTAACATTTCCTGAAACAAATGACCCCACAAACAAAAAGAGCAATTACCGAATGCAAGCAATTGGCCCCTATCGATGAATAATGCCGAATTGAAGGAATTTACAATCCCAAAACCAAGAGCAACAAAACGCACAAATAAATAAAAATGCTGAGTGCTGAGTTTCGTTTGTGCTGCTGTTAACCATCTTCTTTGTTTATGCCAATGCGGCCATAACGAAAGCATGATGACAATGGACAGAGCAAAATCAGAAAACTTCACTACTGACCGCAAATTGTAGACTGACAAGCACTGACTCACATATGATGCAAGCTCCGCTTGTGAAATATTTAACAATAAGAGTAATAGCGATTCAAATTTACCTCGTATTTTGGTACGCTTGTTGAGATTCATCCAAATCTCTCCACGAATGACCTGGCCGGCATAAAAAATGCGTTCTGGATTGTCCAGTCGAATGCATAGTCGCTCACTTTCCATGATGCTGCTGCTACTACTACTTCTCTCATTAAATACTCATCCAAAAATAACATAGAAAAGGCCACATTTGAGCGGCCTCCTTGGTATCACAGTGCAGAACTACAACTACAACACTATATTCTTCTTATTCAATGTGATGAGTTGAGCACAACACTTCAGCTGACAATATACATACGAATAATAAATTCATTTACGCGCACTGCACTCCGTTCAAATTAAATTAATCAAATCAAACATCTTTAATTATTTAAGAAAAGCAACTAAAAACGTTGTTGCTTTTGTTTTAGCTTGCCACACGATAACGATTAACGATAACATTAACATTAAATCAGCTGGCTTTAAACTGTCATAGCGTTGCCACCAGGTGAGCAGGTTAAGCGCAAAAAGTATATATATTTAAAAATTAGATAAGCAACAAATTTTGCCAAGCAAACAATTCATTACTGTATTTTGGACACAGCCAATTAGTACTCAATTGCAGGGATGCAGTCTGCTAAGGTTATTCCCCGCTTATACACAGAGTGGCACACGCACACAGTTAGCGCTCACAGCATTTGCAGCATATGTGAATTTATTAATCGGATTCAGCTTCAGTATTAATTTGAAATTGCTCCCGCTCGGTGGTCGTGGTCGTGGTCGTGGACGCAACTCATCAGTTGGTGGTTGTGCCCTCTCCTACTCGATTGTGTTCCGCGTCGCTTGCCACAGTCAATAAAAGAATAAACATTCCAACAGAAAAGCCAGCGCCTGTTGTTACCAAGGTCACGACAGGATGAGCAGCAAAGTGAATTTTAGCTTCGATAGCGTCTTGGGCGTTTACTATGCTGGCCAGATCGTATCCGGCACAGCCGAACTTATCACAGAGCGCCCCAAAACCATACGCTGTAAGTTCTATATACCGAAATACGCATATAATATTTGATTGTGGCTAGCATGACGTCATGTTGCCCCCTACTCCGCATACAAAAATGCTCTGTGTTGGTGTCTGGAAGGGGGCATGGGGCCAGACACTACATTAGTATTCGAGCCGTCATTGTTTTTTTGTTATTTGTTATTGTTGTTTCTGCTGGCTTTGTTATGTGTGTATATCTTTTGTATTGTGCCGGTAGCTAATCTTCATATATGTATATACGTAGATATACATATCTAAATACGTATATATGTTTCTGTGTCGGCTATTTAATATTGTAGCGAGAGTGAAGAAAAAACTAGTTTTTCTTCGAAAAGTGTGCGTGCCGTTGGGCAAATGAGTCGGCTCGACTGCTGCTTTACTTTGATTTGAAAATGAACAATTCGCTTAGGCCTCATAAAATAAAAAAAAATTAAAAATAAACAGAGCTAAGAACTTGAGTAGTCAAAGGAATGGTAAGTTTTAGTATTTCCGCATGAACCTGAAATAAATGATGGCAAAATTATGCTCGAGACTGGTTTTCGAATAGAATTTGATTCTCTAAAAAGTCAGGGTCAGTTCAGATAACTGCGAATTAAACGCAATTGAACCCGATGGAAACGCAGCTTGATCTGTGCGCCGCCCACATGACGTGCAGCTTAATAGTATTACAAAGAAATTAAATCCAATTACGCGATTCGCTCTCTTCTGTGGCTCTCTTTCAGCCATCTATATAACCGTGAACGGTTTCGTGGAGACGCGTTGGCAGGAGAGTGTCGAAAAGCCTGGTGCTGATGGCAAACTGGTCAAGGCACTGGAGACGTATACCACCACGGAGATCTACTACAGCAGCGATAAATATGTGTACGGCCAGAGCGGAGGATCACAACTGGAGCTGCCCCAGGGCAAGTATGTCTTTCCCTTTCAGGCCACTATACCGCCCCAAGCGCCGACCTCCTTCAATGGCACCCACGGGCAGGTGAAACATGAGGTGACCTTGACCATAGATCGCGCGGTGCGATATAATAATATATTCAAGCAGTGTTTTACGGTCATACTGCCAAACGATTTGAACGCGAAGCCCGAGCATTTGGTAGGTTTGACATGAAAGGGAATATTATAGATGGTATAATCCTTGTCCTTGACCTTTCAGCAACCCTTGAAGCGCATCGAGGAGAAAACCTTTTGGTGGGGCTCCATATTTGGCGGTAACAAGCCCATGGTTATGGACGTGAGCACTTCGTACAGCGCCTATGTTCCTGGCCAGAAGATCAACTTTCACATCGTGCTGGACAACCAAGCGGATGTTCAGTGCCAGGATGTGAAGGTGCGTCTCTTCAAGAACGTGACCTATCGCGGCAAAGCGGGCGATAAGGAGCAATTGAAAACCACCGAGGTGCGTATAGCCGATAAGCACTGTGGCGAGGTGGATAAGAACAATAAGGCGAAATTCGATGAGTTTCTAATGGTGCCACCCACAACGCCGACAACAATGAACGAACGAGGACCGATTCGGGTTAGTTACACCCTTCGTTTCATTGCCAAAACATTCCGCTTGCATGGCGGCGGGGATCTGGTAGTAGACTTTCCACTGGTCATTGGAACTGTGCCATTGCATGGCAGTGCCGACGACAAAGGGCCGGGACAGAAGGCAGAGGCACAGCCGAACACGAACGGCAGCTATCAAGCGATGGGTAGGCAGCCTCTACAAATAAGCTTTTTTTTTATAAAATAATTCCATGATCTTTTCTTTAGTTGCACCTACCTTCCAAGAGGATGTATGCACAGAACACTTCGAGTCGAACACTTATAAGCCGCGTTATCCCGTCTATATACTCAGTGGTCAGCCGGCAAATGCGAATGGTGCTAGGTCGCCATTGCCCAGTCTTTATCCAAAAACCGTGGATACTCTGCCTGCACCGCCAGTGAATTACACACCAAATCCTGTGTCGCCAGTAGCAAATCCGTCGGCAACAGTTCAAAAGGCGCCGCCATATCCAGTGCAAGCGCCTGCAGCTGTGCCAGCTGTTGGCAATAATTTTGAAGTGCTCGGCTTTAGCATACCACCAGGCTATCAGCCCACAGCCAGTGCACCGGCTGATGCTTCCGGCAACATTGGTTGGAAGTAGTTATTGTGTAAACTGTGTATTTATGTATTAGAAGCACTTTTTATAGTTATTTAAATAAATGTTCGCGGGCATACGTCAAATGGCAGCACCGAAATAAACGAAAAATATCGATATATCGGTAAAAAGCTCCAGCAGTGTCATTTTCAATTTTTCAGCTGGTGCGCACGACAACAGCTGTTCGTGGCATGCACTTGACGTAACTTGAGGCCAAGTTTTGTTTTCAATTTGAAATTAGTTTTAGCCGAAAAGCGTTTCGGAACCGGTTTGTAAAGTCTTTCACATAAACTGCAGCAACCTCAGCTAGGCCTCAACATACAGTTATTTCTCATACACTGCCAAGCGCTGAGCAAAAGAAAGTTTTGACGCAATAACATGGCCGTTACTTGTAGTTTGTAATGAAGAAGCGTCGTCGTGCGGCCGCTCAGCTAAACAGTTACCGCTGCACTCTGACAGCGAGCAGTCGAATATATTGACGAACTTAACTAAACTGAATTTTCGACATATTTGTTAGGTGAGCAATTCCAATTTCTGACATGCATATTAAATGCAATGGCTTTATCTTCGTTTTGTAGCCAATAGCGTCAGCCCTGCTAGGCAGACAAGACAACGGCTTCCACAGCAACAACAAGAAAAGTGAAATCGCTGATAAGACGATAATCTGTTACCCATCCCTGAATGAATGAATTAGTCCGTGTATCAAATCTTATTGAAGCCTAAACCAAATTGGCGCCCTCGCAAGTGTAGAGAAACTTGTAGTAACCACAAATCGGAACAGGCACCTCGGGTGAAACAAACGATTAAAGCGTGCTTCGACGAGCATGACACCTTGTAAGTTCACCCTCTGATCTCAATTTCATCGCATCGTTATTTCACACATTAATTTGGCAATCATTTGATGACTATGCAAACATTTTGGTTGGGCCACTGGGCGGGGCGCACCTTGAATCTGTTTTCAGTGGAGCGACAGCGGCAGAGCTCCAAAACTATTTTGTTTGTTTAACAGCAAATTAATTCCGCTGTTGTTGTTCATATGATTTACAGAAATGCCATTGAAGACGCAAACGCTGAAGAAGACGCAGTCGCAGCCGCAGCCGCAACCGCAGCAATAAAAGAGAAATCGCACACACTCACAAGCACAGCCATTGACAACGCATCAGTTGAGCCAGCTTGAATCGACAGCGAGCAACATGACGCCGGCGGTAACAGGCAGCACAACATGTACTACAGGCCCAGCGGTCAGTCAGCGGCGCAAGCACAGCGGACGTGAACAACTGCAGCAAATAATTGCCGGTGGCTTATCAGCAGCTATTACGCGCTCCACCTGCCAGCCATTGGATGTTCTCAAAATACGTTTTCAGCTACAAGTGGAGCCATTCAAGGCGGCTGCTCCATCGGTGCAGTCATCGTCCAAGACTGACCTCCCATTGCATTCCTCCAAATACACATCCATCCTTCAAGCTGTGCGCACCATTTACCGGGAGGAGGGCCTGTTGGCCTTCTGGAAGGGTCACAATCCCGCCCAGGTGCTAAGCATTATGTATGGCATCTGCCAGTTCTGGACTTACGAGCAGCTAAGCCTTCTGGCGAAACAAACCAATTACCTTAAGGATCATCAGCATCTTTCAAACTTCATGTGCGGCGCTTCTGCTGGAGCGGCAGCAGTTATCATTTCCACACCGTTAGATGTCATACGGACACGTCTTATCGCCCAGGACACTAGCAAAGGATATCGGTAACATAAATATTCTTATAATCTTATATATTTTGTTAATAATTCACAACAATTGCAGTAATGCAACACGGGCCGTCACTGCCATCGTACGTCAGGAGGGGATCCGTGGCATGTATCGGGGCTTATCTTCGGCCCTCTTGCAAATCGCCCCTTTGATGGGCACCAACTTTATGGCCTATCGTTTGTTCAGCGAATCGGCGTGCAAATTTTTCGAAGTGGACGATCGTACCAAGCTGCCTACTTGGACTCTCTTGATGCTGGGCGCTTCTTCGGGCATGCTATCGAAAACAATTGTGTATCCCTTTGACTTGGTCAAAAAACGACTGCAAATCCAGGGATTTGAGCAAAATCGCCAGACTTTTGGACAAACACTAAAATGTAATGGGGTTTGGGATTGTCTTCAGCTGACGGTGAGACAGGAGGGTGTGCGGGGTCTCTACAAGGGCGTTGCTCCCACGCTCCTCAAATCCAGCATGACAACGGCATTGTACTTTAGTATTTACGACAAGCTAAAACAGGTGCACTTCTGGTAGGTGCGAATTAACAATCTTTTTCAATATAGAAATTAAGTAGTGAAAAAGTTCACAGCACAGAATCTATTTTTTATATGCTATTTACAAATAATGCTGTAAATGATATTAAGCATAGTGTCTCTGTTAATTAGTTATTAGCACGGGTTTATTTTATGTTGATAGGTTTATCTATAAGGTAATACTATGCGCAAACTCATAAACTTTATGCACAAATGCATAAATTATATGGAAATTATGCTATAATTTTTTTATTTAAATGAAGCTATGGACACGAAATATAAATTATTTTATTTGTATTAAAATATAATTTCTCATCAAGTTTTATAAAACTGGTTTAGAAACACACGCAGAATAATATATTCCACAAAGATGTGGTTCAAATTTGTTCATTATTTAAATATTTCGAGCATATATTTGGCAACAACAATTTTCCATATTAATAAATAAATATATTAAAGAAATCTTGTTCCTAAATATATAACGTAATATAGTAAATTATAAGGGCAAATGACTAAACCTTTTTATATATATATATTAAATTTATAGGGTATTTAGCTTGTTAGCATCAGCTTAGTTCCGTATTTTTTGAAAGCTTGGTTTCATTGAAATATCGAAGCTTTTACTACCAATTGTGAAATTGGTAATTTAAAAGCTGCGATTCACTCATTTGATTAGCAACTAGTATCTAGTTTTGTTCAGCAGGAGCCCGTAAAAATTCATATACCACTAGCGATGACGACTTTGGGGTTGAATTAGCAATAAATAATGGCTCAGCTAAGAATAGTTCTAATAATATTCCAAAAATTATTTAATTAATAAAATTATCACTATTTGTAAAGGTATTATAGTGAACTTCATCAATGGATTTGCTTCGTTGATAAATTATGTGCGGAATCAGGTCAAATGACATAGTCTCGAATCAGTCGTCATCTATCGCTATAGCTAATTATATATATGTGTATGTATATTTCATGTAAATGCTGTTGTATATCTTTTAGCGATAAGTTATTTCCAAATTGCTTATCAACAAAGATTATGATCATAAATAAAGCACATAATTAGTCAGACATCGATGTTGACAGCTGGGCATCTCTGAAATTTTTAAGTCTGTAGCGTCCAGCACCAGACTATCTACGATGTCCAGGAGGAAACCCGAAGTTTAGAGGGTACGATAAGGAGGGTCAAGTTAAAGTCGATGTAGACTCAATCGTCTGTATATACATAAGTTATTTATATGGAGAAATGTACTTCAATGCAAGGCTGTGTAGCGCCCCAAAATTTTAATATATGTAAATAGACTACCCACGATGTTTGTTCTGCCCCGAGTTCATCAAAATAATCCCATATACCATATACGCCATGAGTCGATTTATTGCATCGCATTTTAGTGAAAAGCTACTCTGGCGAATTCAATGCTATTTTAAGAAAGAAAATAAAAAATTGATAATACCACTATCCAAACAACACATAGACTAGACATGTAGAACAAACTTTTTCAACACCGAAAAATCTGTCTAGTAGCTACCAACAACTTCGTATTCGCTCGGCTCTTCACTTTTAGGTATGTAGTTGTTTGGTTAGTGATAATACAAATGATGTAGAAACGGACAAAAGTTATCGCAAGGATGTTGCCACTGTAACCGCAATAGCAATCGAAAATACAATATCGATACTTTGTGAAATTCAACAGATTAACATGCAAAAATTGAAATCAAAACAAAATGACAAAAAACACACGATTTTTCTCAATCACCGGCAATTAATAAATAAAGCTTACGCAGCTGGAGTACCTAACTATGAAATATATGAATTAAAGTCACAGTTGTTTCACTTTCAGCCAAAAATAGCGCAAGACCTAAAGAAGCGGAAACGCAAATTGAACGAAGTTGAAAACAATGAATCCGAGGATACAATTCTGAATTACCTGGAACAGCTGTCCGATGTAAAAGTAGACAATATGTCACCACTGCCCCGCTACTGGGAAGAAAAGTACGGACTGCCTCAAATGCATGGCAGCAATATGAGCGGTCAATTTCAAAAGTATCAAACAGAGGAGAAGACTTTCATAATACCGCATGCAACCCGCTTTTACAACAATAACGTGGATCAGCTAACCACATTATTGCCACAGCTGTTGCCCAGCTATGATATAATTGTGATTGACCCACCCTGGCGCAACAAATACATACGTCGTTTAAAGCGGATCAAGCACGAGCTAGGCTATGCCATGATGGACAATGAGCAATTGGCCCTGTTGCCATTGAACCAACTCACACATGAGCGCACCTTAGTGGCCATTTGGTGCACAAACTCCAACCTACACCAAACGATGCTGGAAACAGAATTACTGCCACGTTGGCAACTACGTTTACTGCATAAATTACGCTGGTACAAGCTTAATACGGCACATCGGCTCATTTGCAAGTTAAACCAAACGGATGCCACTCAAAAACAGCCCTACGAGCACCTCTATTTGGCCTGCCACGCGCAGAGCGATGGGGCATATGCCGCAGACTTGCAACAAACTGAATTCCTGCTCAGCGTGCCCAGCATTGTGCACTCGCACAAGCCACCGCTCCTGGACTGGTTGCGTCCACACTTGCAGCTTGAGCAGGATCAAGTTGAGCCCAATTGCTTGGAACTGTTCGCCCGCTATTTGCAACCACAATTTACGTCCATTGGCATCGAGGTACTTAAGCTAATGGATGAGCGTTTGTACGACCAAGTAATAAAGAGAAGCTAATAATTCAATAATTTTGATTTTCTCTTTCTATATCAGTAAATATCAGACGATCTAATAGACAGTTAAGCAAGCAAGATATTTGAGTTATTTTTGGTTTATTACCGTTTTATTTGTGTGCTGTTAATGAAAGCGAATGCAACAAGAATTTTGTATGAGGGAACTGGCGAAATGTTAGACATTTGTGTGTGTGTGTGTGTATTCATGTGTGTGCACACGCTTTGTTTGTGTTTGTGTGTTAAATTAAGTATTAAAATATTAAGAATTATTAATACAAATGTATTTGTTGTTCTCTGCCTACTCCTGACCCTGAGCCATGGCTGCTGGATTGGTGGGTTCGTTGCCGCCACGCTTCTTCGATCCAGATACAATGTCATCGATGCGCAGCAGCAGAATAGCCGTCTCCACTGCAGTCTTGTAGGTCTGCAGTTTGACGGCAAGCGGCTCCCAAATGTTCTTCTCATTCATGTCGACAATCTCACCGGACTCGCCATCAATGCCCCAGGCACAGACTCCGTCTCCGGTGTGAGAGGCGTGCTTGGCACGCAGCGCGGTCAAGGCGCGAATAGTATTGGCACCGCAATTCTGGGCCAGCGTGCGTGGTATAATCTCCAAAGCACGCGCCACAGCAGTGTAGGGTCCTTTCACCTGCTTTCGGGTTAGTAGCTGGGATGCTGCCATTTCGACAGCACCGCCACCGGCCACCAGACGTGGTTCAAGCACTAGATTGCGTGCCACATGAAGGGCATCCTGCAGATTGCGCTCCGTTTCGTTGAGAATGTCTTTGCTGGCACCGCGCAGCAGTATGGTGCAAGCCTTGGGATCCTTGCACTGAGTGACAAATGTGAAGTACTCGTCACCAATTTTCTTTATCTCGAATAGTCCGGCACCAGTGCCCACATCCTTCTCTGTCAGCTCCTCAGTACGATTCACAATGGTAGCACCGCAGGCGCGAGCAATGCGCAAATTGTCCGTCTTGCGTAGACGCCGAATGGCAGTGATGCCCGCCTTAAGCAGATAGTGCTGTGCCAGATCGGAGACACCCTTTTCAGTGAATACCAGATCCGGTTTAACGGCAATAATATCAGCACAGACGCGCTGCACAAACTCTTCTTCAATTTGCAGCATGCGAGTAAAGTCCTGCTCGCCAATGATTTCAACATTGGTTTGGCTTTCGCCCTTTTTGTATTCAAGTGAGCAATCCAGCAGTACGATGCGTGGATTCTCAATGTACCGACGCATTTTGGGATGTGTTACGTCCTTGTTGAGCATAACACCTTTCAGCACACAGGAATCTTCAATAGCGCCACCAGGAATCTTCTCCACCTTTGCATAGCTATATACATTATGAAATTAAGTTGACTTTTAGATCAGATCCTTGTATTTGAACTACCTACCGCTTAATGTCCACCTCCAGTCGACCGTTCTCATTCAGCGTCACAGTCTCAACAGCATCCAAAGCAATCTTCACAGCCATGTCAGACCACTTGCCAATGAATTTGGTGCCAACGCAGGCCTTGACCACATCAGCCATTTTGGCTTTATCCTTGACATCTAACTGGACACTCAAATTGGTCTGCAAATGATTGACAATGTCCTCGAGGGCCTCACGATAGGCTCGAATGATCACTGTTGGGTGGATTTGCTGTTGCAGGAATGGCTCGGCGGCGGCTAGCATTTCACCAGCCAGGACAATCACAGAGGTGGTACCATCGCCAACCTCCTCATCCTGCGTACGAGCAATTTCAATCATGCTCTTTGCTGCTGGATGCTGCACAGTGATCTCACGCAAAATTGCATTGCCATCGTTGGTCATCACAATGCCGCCCATGGGATCCATCAGCATTTTCAGCATAGCCTGGGGGCCCAAGCATGTGCGTATCACATCGGCAATAGCCTGAAATTATCATTAATTTTACAATCTTGCAAACAGATGGCCAAATTTGCTCGATAGACGCAGAGACATGTGAGTCACAAGCATTACACACACGCACGCACACACATACCTTTCCGGCTTGAATATTCTCCAACTGCACTTTGCGGCCCGATTCTCTTTTTGTGTTTTGACCTAAACGGCAATATTAAGATAGTAAATAGTCAGAGATCAATTAAATTTTAAAACTTACTCAACACGAGTATTGGTTGCTGTCCACCAAACATGTTTCTTGTTATTTTTAATCAATTTCTATGTGAAAATAATAGAACTCGTGCCTCGCGTTTCGCTGTTGCCGCTGCTCAAAAGAGAATGAATGACGTTTGTTTTTGAGGTTAGAAATGCTGACAGGCGATTCCAGAAGATTCGATAACATATGTTTTAGTTGTTGTTATTTAATTATTTTGTGTTACAAGTAAAGGTTATAGTTCGGCGAACATCTACACAAAATTTGCATCACATAAAATAAAAATTTTGCAAGATGTAAATAATTTAATTGGGCAGCGCCAATTAAAGTTAAAGACTCGATAACTATATCGATAGCTTATCGATATACTTACACACATTGGCAACACAGTTATCACAGCTGTTTAATTTTTGTTTATAAACGTTTGTAAAAGGTACGCCATGGATACTAAAAAGATATCCTTTGGTTTTAGCAAGGTGGCTAAAAAGCCAAATATATTGCCCAGCAAAGTTACAAAAGAAGAAAACAAAGTAGAGCTTATCAAATGCCTCGAAGGGAAGGAAATCAAATTGGTCACGTAAGTTAATAGAATTATTTAAACAATATAAATCTAATCTCATATTCTGTTTATAGAGAAAAACAAGAAGTTGCACCACTTGTCATACAAATGCCTACTATTCAGAAAACATCTACAGCGCTGGCAAGTCTAATGAAACGACGAGCTGTTTTGATGGGCGAAGAGGACGTCGACCCCGAAGAATCCACTGCCGAACCGCAATCTATCGCTGAAGTAACTGCTAATAGCGATGGTGCTAGCTTGGAGCAACGCGCCGCACGCGAGTTGCTTGCAGCCGCGAACGTCAACGGCAATGATATTATAGATAATGAAAAGCTTGTATTACCGGCGCTGAAAGCTGATGAGCTGCCTCTGAATGGGGCCAAAGAAGCAACCTTAGACGACTATGACTCAATACCAATACAACAGTTTGGTTTAGCGATGCTGCGTGGCATGGGTTGGGTGGATCCGCCGCCTAAGAAAAAAGGCGCCGCTCCGGTAGACGAGGCTCCTTTTTTGAGGCCCAAAGGCATGGGGCTGGGAGCGGACAAAGCTTTGAAACCGAAGGCGTTGCTGGTGCAGCCCGAGAAAAACGAAATATTGGAAATCAAAAAGCAAGCCTACGTGCGCATCTTGGGTGGCAAGCAAAAAGATCAGTATGGACAGATTGAGGGCTTTGACGATCATGCAGGTCGTGTGATTGTTAAAATGGCGATTGGAGGTAACAAGGAGGCATTTAATGAGTTTCTCTGCCAGCCCGTCTCTCGCAAGGAATACTCGCAGTACGGCAAGTGCATAAGTAAGTGGCAATCACATAGATCTTAAGCACAGATTAAGTGAAATCAAACTTATTAATAGCTCCCGTTGTTTACAGATACAGCAAAATACGAGGAGTTTAAGAAGCAGGAAAACGAGCACGGCCAAATAATTATCAAGCAAGAAAAATCAACTGAGAGAACCAGTGTAAAGACAGAGAGTCGAGATAGAATGCATGAGGACGAACGTAAATCGTATAGAACAAAAGACGAAGAGAGAAAGCCTCATAAAACAGAGCATCGCAGTGTCAACCAAGATGAGCGTCGAGTTGAGAGCAGAGATTACAAAGACGAACAAAGTACATCCCATAAAAGAGAGGAACGAAACCCTTATAGAGCAGAAGACCGAGGAAAAGCTGAGAGCAGCAAAACTAGTCGATACTATGAACGTGATCAGGATTCTCTAAAGAGTAGTAGCACATCTAAATCCAGCAGTCGTAGGCGACAGCAAAGCAGCTCAGACGAAGCCGACGATACGGACGAATCAACAGAAAGTGATTGTGATTCCGCCTATGAGCGCAGGTCCAAAAAGAAGTCAAAAACTGGAAGCAGCAGCAATAAATCCAAGAAAAGAAAGTCAAAGAAATCGAAAAGTAAATCACACCGTCATCGGCGTTCTTCAACCACGAGCGAGGATTCCAATAGTAGTGCGGACGAGAGAGCACGACGACGTCATCAAAAAAAGAAAACAAAGAAAAGTAAACACGATCGTTCCCGCACGCGTTCTCGGTCCCGTTCTCGTAATGGGCGTGCCAAGTAGTACAAAGATAGAAAATCCAATTACGCCATTGTTGATTCATTTGAAAACTTTATTTTATTTAAACATTTATGTATCATCAGAAGACGCATAGTTTTCATATATATGCACGATTATCATTAAATTTCAATTAACTCATAATCACAAAAATGTCTTTCTTTGAGAATCTTTGGGGCCCATACAAACTTAGAGTTAGAAATGTCGTGATGTATAGGTTTCCAAAATGCCTTACTTTTATGATTTTAGCTAGTTATGTGAATGATAATACTTTCAATATGCCCATAGCATACTTATATTTTACGATATACTATATTTATTGATTAGGATGTATGTATGTATGAGATGGCAAAGTAAATGACTTAGTGTTATATATTCGAATGTGTTTTCTTTGTTTTTTGTTTCCGTCGAATACGCTGGATTGTGTGTGTGTGCACGTGAGTGTTTGTGTGTTGATGAGATTTATTTAATAGTCCATGTAATAATTTAATAAACATAAGTTAGCCATTTACTGCAGCTTCTTTTTGCCATATTGAATTTTATCATTGATTATCTTAGAAGCCTTCTGGGTAAGGGACTTGAACACATCCTTCTCATTCAGCCCCGGCCACATGGCTACCAGAACAGTAGCACAATACATGAGCAAAAGATTGTTGATAATGGCACCAATCCAAGCCAGAACCAGTAGGCCCAAGCTTATAATGATCACAACCTGTGCGATAGAATTATAATTAAATTTTGTGTCAGCTATATGCGCAAAGTGCTTACCATTGTTGGCTTGCGCTCTTTGAACAGATAATCATACCAATCAATGATACTTGATTTAATGTTATATAGCTGTCCACACACTTCCTCAAATTTAGCCTCCTGTTCGCCATCCCAATTTCCACCATTAGAGACCAATCGCGACAGCATCGGAATGACAAAGTCCATGAAGAATGCCAATAAGGCCAGCAATGAGAATAGAGTTATGAAGGACAAATCCATGTACCATAGCAACAAATATATGATACTGATGGCGCCAAAGACGACGCCGGCATAGTATTGTTTTTCCCAGGTAAGAACACCATATCCACTTACAATGGCATTGCGAAATGGTTCCAAGTCATGCTTTAGCTTGATTAGGGCACGTTTCTGTAAATTAATGCAAAATTTTGCTTTTCATGATGGCGGCAATTTTTTTTTTTTTTCGTGTATGTGCTACAGAGTGCAAAGGAGTCACAGTTGGAATAACGGATCCTTGCTTACCTGGTCAACTTGAGATGTTGTCATCTTTATTTGTCGAGTTTGATAAAACGCTTACACGCCTTAGTTTTGTTGTATATTTATTTATACGTTAGAGTGGAGCTACAGTTAGTTTGGGAGAAAAATCAATTTGTTTGTGCAAGCTACCCAGTAAGGATGTAAAAAGCATCGATAGCGATGTTTGTTAACGAAACTTATCGTTTTGACAGACAGGTATGGCAGTACACTATATCGATAAACTTGCGACAAATTGAATGACTACTATATTTTACCAGTATGTTATTAAAGCTACAGAAATGTGTTGGAAAGTAGGCACAATTCACTAATAAAAGTCGAGCTATAAAATAAATACTTTCTGAACTCACGGTAACTATTACCTAGAAATATTAATTAGCAAGAGCAACTGCTACTTTAAAATACTTGTAGAGCAGAAACGCCAACGAAGTAAGCTTATGCGATACTTTTGAAAATGACGAATAAAATAGTCAACATTTCATTGTTTTTTCTTTAGAAACCCATTTTCGAATTTATTAACAACACAATGAGTTGTCCAGGCTTTGGTGAAGTAAGAATACCCTCTTCCCGTGCATTTTGGGATGATTGCGAGGAAGACGAATTTGAAAGCATTGAGCCGGCAACGAAGTGAGTTTGCAGTTTTGGTTTGTTTATAACCTACTCTCTACTAATTTAATATGCGTCTTCAACAGGGCGCAGCTTAAATTTATGGATGGCACGGATGAAGCTCCATTTGCCAGTGAACTGTTCGTACTTATCGAAGGACCATTCATAACAGAATTCTGTCGCGGAGCGTTACTCGAAGATGCCAAGCTCGTTTGCGAGATACCAGCAAAAACTTCCACTTTGCATTGGAATGCCTCAAAGGGACATCTGATTGCCACACTAGAAGAGGATCTTACCAGCAGTGGCGAAATTACGGAGTTGCTCATACCCTATGCAAAACTGGCAAAACAAGTGCTCACCATCACCATAAAGCCCAAGGTGGACTACAAAAGCGAGGAGATCGACAGATACAGCGAGTACGTGGCCATTGTGCACAGTGTGGGTGGCAAGGGATATGACAAAACAATAACCGAGCTGGAAGCCCCCAACTTTATAGCTGGCGTGGCAGCAGGCAGTAAGTGTTCAATTAATTTTGTGGAAGAATTTGAGTAATGCATATTAAATTTGTTCCATTTACAGTTGCTAGCTGGCGTACTCAGATGGAGTTACCTGTCAGCTCCTATGTCGTTTACACAGACAAACTGCCCCTAGATGTAATTGCTGCTCAGCCAGTCTTGCATCTGCTGAAGAAGATGGGTGTGCCGTGCATTGAACGCTATTTGCCGCCGGCCAAGGATAGCTCCTACTTGTACATGTAAAGGTAGTGCACATAAGTTTTGGGTGGTTGTTTTTATTCAAATAAACGGTAGCGGTTGCAAATGAAAACAACCATCGCTGAATTAATCTGCTAGCAGGAGTGTACAAGAGTAGATTATTTTAATACTTCAAACATGCTTAAATTAAGATCTTTGCTGCGCCGCTCCATATGCGCTTTCGCAATGGCAATGAACTGTGGCCGCGAGAGCAGAGAATAGGCAGGCATCAGTAGCGAGGAAGCCAGCATATGCAGCTCCTTGTGCCCACTGCTAAACAGATCGAGTCCCAGCTCCAATGCCGTGCCAAAATCACATTCATCCATCGCAATGTGTGCCGCATTAGCCAGTGGTTGCAATTTCTCGAGCACCATCTGTTTGGCATTATCGGTTCCATCGTTGAGATCTTTGGGTTCGAGCAAAGCTAAAATTTTCTTCAGCTCCGCATCGCTGACCAATAGCGGGCGATAGCCCTGCTGTGTCTTGCGCTCGTAGGGCACCACAATGCCAGCCCGATGCAATGTTTTGGTCACAACGTGCTTATTCCGTTCAGTCTTCAAACTTTCGAGCTGTGACAATTCCAGCGAATTATCGCTTATATACTGCTTCACCGCTTTCTTGGTGGCTGCGACCTGGCCCGTGGTGAATGGCGTGGCTACATAATCGTGCTGCATATAGTGCAGGAACGCATCAAACAGGTTGCCAGCCACAAATTCGAACTCACAGTTGCGCGTCGCATCGTTGCGGGCCAGCATCAGTCGCTCTTTGTCCTGCGGTACATCGCGCCAGTAGCCGTAGTGTATACCTGTGCCCTGGCGCACAAACACGGTTTGGAACTCCGGCGGATCATAATAGAAACGCCAATGTCGCAAATAATCGCCAGGTTCACCCATCTTGGCATTGTGAAATTTGCCAGCTAAAAACTCGAATGGACCCACCAGCTGCAGTTGGAATAGCGTTTCAATATGTCGAAGCGCTGCGTCTTTCGTGGTGTCCTTCTTTAGTGTGTTGATGAATTTCCAGAATTCATAGAAATCTTCTGGCATCTCCACCAGAAATTTGTGTCTAATAAACTCATTGCTCCCACATAGATTTTCATACTCATGTTGCACCGACAAACGTATTCGTTTTTCCAATGTTTCCATATAATTTTTGCCAGCAATATTATTCATTGCCTCCTTGTGCAATTCCGCCGTCTCCGACTCATATTTGCCCACATTTTCCATCTCCATTTTGCTGCTTGTATTTGGGCTCCTTTTATCGTCCTCCTCAGTGGTTGCTCTGCGTTTTGGCGCCAATTTTTCCGTTTCTGTTTGCTTGGGAGGGTGATTGTATTTTTCTAGATGTGCCTCATTCCGCTGATAGCATTTGTCCCAGTATTTACAATTTTCCTTCGGCATTTCGTATTTTGTTGAAACAGATATATTTATTGGGCAAATGCAGTGATAAAAAAACAATGCAAAAGCTTATTCTTCTTCTTATCTGCTAAATACCGAGAACATAAACAGGGCTGTTGCAGTTGCTTGCAGATTGATCGATAAGTCGATAGAACCGGTAAATAAGTTTAATCATTGCTATGGCGGCAAAGCGATAGTAAATATTGGTAGAATACGCATTTCAATGGTGAGTTTGGTTTTAATTATTGTAGTTCATTCAATGAATACAAATGTTTGCAAAATATTGAATTTGTAGTTGGTTAGTTAGTATTACAATAAATGTATGCATGTGGGTTGATGTTGTAAGAACAGAATAAACCTAAAATGCTTCTAATCTTCGACAGCACACATGACTGAGTAGACGCACTCCTCCTTATTGATCAAATGGCATGTTTTGTTGACCAAGGACATCAGCTGATTCACATCGGTTGCCCAATTGTTTAATATATCCGAAGCACTCTTCTTTGTGGTAAAATAGATAATGCCAGCCGGTCTATCAATCTTCACGCGTATTGTGTCACTGTTTGCTAATTTCGAAAGATACTCCTCACAGCGATTAGTGGGTAAATTCAGCAGCTCACTCATGCGCGTCAAGTGCAATCGTGAGTAATACATCGCTATGATACGTATATTCTAAAAGAAAGAGATAGTTAGAAAAGTGCATTTAAGACATCGTGAAAAAACGTACGTGTTCTATCAATCGATCTTTTAGCTCAGTGATGCATTTCTTGCCATGTTTGCTATTATCCTTGAACATTTCGTTCTCAGCCAAAATCATGCCAAAGTCTGCATTAAATGTATCGAAGTTTATAAGCTCCTTTGACATGAAGAGACGCAGTATTTCCCTTTCAAATGACAAAACAAGTTAGTATTGTATATTAATTAATCCGGGTAGGGCATTCTTACTTATAAGCTGGGACATCCTCCAATTTCTTGTTCTTTGATAAGTGCGCCATCATATCGCTCTGTTCATTATCAAAGGGAGCCAGCACGCAGTAGATCACAGCGCAGACCAACTTGTCTGTGAGCTCCTTTTTCTGTGCATCTGTCAGTTCTATTTCTGGTTCTACAGCCACATCAGCTTCTGATTTTTTATCATCCTCCTCCTTTGTCTTTTTATCGTCACCCTTTTTCTTCTCATCACTCGTGGATGACTCCACAGCTGCTGGCTTCTTTTTACGTGGTGGCTCAGCAATGGCTTGATAGTGACGCGAGGTATTCAGAAATGATGTATCGCGATTCAGTTGTATCATCAGATTATAGAATTTCAGCTTGAGGTCATGTTGTGCTGGATCATCAAAAAATTTGATACTGATTTTTTTTGCGATGATCTGGGTGGACACATAGTCCTCTTTTAGCAGACACAGACGCATTTGCTCCAATATCAGCTCGACCTTCTCACGCTTGTCCATCGAGCCGTAAGTTTCTACTTGCAGCTCTTCCATGACCGCAGCTGCACCTGCCACATCTCCGTCAGCTTCTTTAATGTCCGCTAAAATTTTAGTTAAACGTGCACGTTCAATTTCTACATAGATTTTGCCTTCGGTTACGGAACGCAATGTATCGATCAGCTTCAGCTTGGTCTCCTTGTCGGGCGTCTTATCCACATATGTGCAGCATTCCTGGATCATCTTGACCACCGCCTGCTTCAGTTGCGAGCGGCGACGCACGAGCAACGAGACGTACTCATTTAATGCATTCCAGTTGCCTGCCTGGAGGCATATCTGGCAGATGGCCACCAATACACGTGAGCATGATACCATGTCAGCACCCAGACGTGTTTGTTTCTCCAGCTGGAGCATCATTTCGATCGCTTCATGAAAGGCGTCGGGATTCTTTTTGGCCAACTCCATGGCCATGGGTATTTTCTCATTGCAGGCAGGTTCATAGTCCACCTCCATTTTGGTAATGCGACCGCCATCGAACAAATAGGTATCCATAATGAGCTTCAAATCAAAATTTAAATAGTTCCAATTATTGTTGAAGTTGTTGTTGTAAATTGCAGGTATGACAAGGCAACTTTTTTTTTGTTCCGATACTTACATTTTGTTACGTAGTACTAAAGCAAGGCGTATTTAAGGTTATTAAACGGAATAAACTTAACTATTTGCCGCCCTATTTGCGGTTGCTGTTATTAAAATACTTTTTTCTGGGGCAGAAGCAAATAAATGCGGTGAATTTCGATCAAGACTCTGCAGAAATTTGCTTACAAATGATGTTAAGTTGGCTGCGCGTAATATCAGTGTTGAGCAGTGTCTGACAAACAATGCATTTTCAAATTGAAGCAAATTTCAGAACTAGACTGATTTAAAAAATTGTTAAAAAAAAAAGATAGTTTACTATTTTAGGATAGAAAATGCCAGCTGGTAAAAGAAGATGGCTATCACAAAAATATAGCAGATATATTAATAAACCTAAAACGCGAAAACGTACGGTAAGTTTTGCATCCCTGGTGTTGCATTTTAGCTTCACTGCACAACACTTCCAGCCTTTGTTAAGCCGCGAAAGAAATTCGCTAAATAAGTAAATTGATCAATTGTTTTATAAAAAGTGCATATAAATTCCTATTTCTGTCAAGAGACTACGTTACGTTATTCGAAAACTAACTCCTTGCACAGTGTCGCAAGCGTTTGCTATTTCGACGCTACAATTACAATCACATTTTGCGCGCCAATTTGCGGAGCAGCCGAAAGATAATCACCAAAATGGCACAAATTCAGGAATATCAGGATCTGGTGCTCGATGCCCTTGAGGCAGTGGAGTTCAAGCTGAGTAAGTCTAGGATTGTATAATTTAGTCGTGTCGCATTCAAGTTCTCAATTACCCGCTTGCAGTACGCGACAAGGCGGACATTAACAACGATGCCTTAATATTTCACCCCGCCATGGCGCATCAGATATTTGGTGAGTCGGAGACCATATTCGGCTATCAGGGGCTGCACGTGCGAGTTCTGTATACGGCTGGCCCGTTGCATATCTATCTGGGCGTTGAGTACGAGAAGCGAGTCAATGAAATATCTGGTGGAGAAATCAAAGCTGACGACGTGGTCGCCACAATTGCTCAAAGTCTACCAGACGGCTGTTATTTCATTAATTTGGATGAGTTTCTCAAGACGCTTGACAAGGCCGACAAGTTTCAGCCATTTGGTGAAAAACTCAGCGAATACAGTCGGCGCGCCGACGATGGCAGCGAACGGCTCTTCGAAATCTATCAATGTGACTACAAATCGTCGTCATTTCTAAAGTTCTTTACGCGTCTGCAAACGTTCATATTATGGTTTGTTGACGCTGCCTCCTATATAGACACCGATGATGCCCAGTGGTGTTACTTTATCTGGTAATTTGAATTTCGTATACGATATGAATTTCCTTTTCAAGTCCAATCAATTAAATTTTAGCTATGAGAAATATAAGAATAAGGATGGCGAATACCAGTATGCAACTGCTGGCTACACCACTGTCTATGAGTACTATGCATATCCTCAGAATAAGCGTCCGCGAATTAGCCAAATGCTAATTTTGCCGCCATTCCAGAAATTGGGTTTGGCTACACAGCTAGTGGAAACAATATACAAGTTCTATCAAAGCCAGAAGAATGTGGTGGACATAACCGTAGAGGATCCATCCGAGGACTTTCAGAGATTGCGTAACTTTGTGGACGCTCGTCTGTGTCTGGAGCTGAAATGCTTTTCCCGTGATATAATCAAGAAGGGTTTCACCAAGGAAATGGTGCGCGAGGCACGCGAGACCTTAAAACTGAATCCACGTCAGGTGCGCAAGGTATACGAATTGTTGCGCCTATACTACACCAACGTGGCTGATGAAAAGGAATATAGAGCCTATCGTCTGGAAGTTAAGAAACGCCTCAATGCCGTTTACTACAAACAGCTGAAGGATCTTCAGAAGATGGAACGCTATAAAATGGATACGGAGATGTTGCGGGCACGTTTGCCAAATGCCAAACAGCGCATGGAACAGCTGCAGGAGGAGTATGCGCTCATCGAGCAGGATTACAAGAATACAATTGATAAGCTACGGGCCTAGATCTACATAAATAAATATAATGCCGTTGGGTGTTTGATTAATTTATTATGTTTTCCGTTCTAAATATGTTGATTACAAAATACAATTTGTTGCTATAAGCTTATAGTAGGATTCTGTCGAATAAATATGTATTAAAAAATTACACACGCTCATATGTGTATGTGTTTGTTTATGTGTGTGTGCGTCCATTTAGAGCATAATTTGAGGAGTGTGGGCTCTTGAGCAATTAACTATATAGAAAACACATTTTTTCTGTATATGATTATATATCAGCGATACATATAGTTTTTACAATAATTAAATAAAATATTGCGTATTGGAAGTACATACGTATGGGAGTGCGGAGAAGGGTACTTTATAAATTTGGTGCTGCGACAGCACAAAGATCGTACAACTAGCAGGAGCCGTACTCCTCCATCCACTTCTCGAAACGTGCCACATCGTCAGCTGAAACAGTTTTCTTGGTGCGTTGCTGTGCATCCTGAAAGTCTTTGAGTGTGATCGGCTGATCCACGTCCTCGCGGCGTATTTGCTTGATCTGCTGCGGCGTGCGGCCAGAGATGAGACGTCGCATTGCCATCATGGAGGCATCGCGGCACACATTGCTAATGTCCGAGCCGGAATAACCCTGCAGCTCGTCACCAATCACTGTCGTATTGATATCTGGCGAGAGTGATACATCCTTAAGGTAGAGCTTCAGCAGCGCCGAGCGTGTTTCCTCTGCGAACAAAAGGCAACAAAAATGTCGGTTTAGATGTAGATGCCCCATATAGAGAGCTCTCACCATTGGGCAGCGGTATGTAGATGCGCTTCTCGAAACGTCGGCGAAAGGCCTCGTCAATGTCCCAGGGATGATTTGTCGCCGCCAGCACCATGATGATCTTATCATCCTGCAGGCTGGCATTCAGGCCATCCATTTGGATGAGCAGCTCTGCCTTAAACCGTCGGCTAGCCTCGTGCTCAGAGTCGCTGCCGCGCGATGCGCAGAGGGCATCGATCTCATCAATGAAAATGGTGCTCGGCGCATAGAAGCGGGCCATCTCGAAGAGCAGACGCACCAGTTTCTCGCTCTCGCCCCGGTACTTGGATGTTAGTGTGGAGGAGGACACGTTGAAGAAGGTTGTGCCGCATTCGGTGGCCACGGCTTTGGCCAGCATCGTTTTGCCCGTGCCTGGTGGACCGACCATTAGGACGCCGCGCCAAGGTCGGCGTATTCCCTTGAAGAACTCTGGCATTATAATGGGCAGCACAACGGCTTCCTGCAATCAGAAAATTCTTCTGGATAAAATAACATTCGGAATTATTCGGATTTTAGTTGGATACAAAAATCGACTGTACTCTCTTCAATATACTCAATCAATTTCACCTGCAATATTGTCTTGGCCTCGTTGAGACCCGCGACCTCAGTCCATTTGATGCACGGATGTCGCTGGAGTATGTCCTTCTCCAGCGTATCGACCAGGTGGCCCTCATAGCCCAGCGGCGAGAAGTGCTTGATCTTGATCTTCGGTGAGCATCTGGGTGTATTGTGTGTGGTTGATTGGGCATGCGAATTGTCCTCTATCGATGTGGTCGCATCCTGATCATCTGAATTTGAGTTGTCGTCCAACGAGTTCTTCTTAACCGGCCGTTGTTTCAGTGTCATCTGCGTGTTGGTGCTCAGCTTGCGGGCGCGCAATCGCTCTACGGATCGACTCTTGCGCACGGCTGCTGTCAGAGCGGAGGCTCTGCCGGGTCGACTCAGCCGTAGACCAATGCCCGTGGTGCTGCCCGTGTTGCTTGCCCCGAGGCCCACATTGCCCGCGCTGCCATGATGACTCTGGCTCAGGCTGTTGCTGTTCAGATTGCTGTTGATGGAGGGCAGCGTTGGCTGCAGCTCCGGATCGCGGCGACGCAACGAGGATACCCAGCGAGTGTCCTGCTGCTGTTGCGAGGGAAACGGCATTGCTATGTGGCTGGGGCGCGGCTGCGGGGCAACCTCTGCATCATAGACTGTGTTTAGTTGTGGGGTGAGCAGACAATGGAAAACTACTGGCACAAACCTTGCGTGGGCAAACGCTGTTGCTTGCCGCGCGTCGGTGGCGCGCCCCCGATGCCCAAGCCATTGGGTGCATTGGGGCCCAGATTGTTGATGGGCCGATGAGGATTGACGCTGATGTGCTGCGTATGCTGCACATTCTCTGTCGCAGGCTTCTTCAAGCTGCTACTACAGTTGCTATTGCGTGGGGGCCGGCTTGTGGTGGTGATCTTGGTGAAGGCATACGGGGACAGCGAGTCCAGGATCAAGGAGTCCATCATACGCGCCATATGGGATAAGCTTGCTGGTGGCGTGGCAGAGCTGTGAAATAGAAGAGGGGTCATATAATATCAGCATGCATGATAAACGCTGCAGCACGCCATTGGCCCTGCACATTCAACTCGGCTAAGGTCATTTGTTTGGCTTATCAGCTGGCGACATCCAAGTCCCTTTGCGTGCGCCGCATCAAGTCCAGTCAAACTTTGTCTAGTCTAGTCTAGTCTAGCAACATTTGAGTCGTTTGCTTTGCCCACCCCATACACACATACACACACACATGCACATGAGTTATTTCTAGGAAGTCTAGTTCGTGTGGCTAAAGCGTGCGCCTGCCATACACAAGCAACGAATATATTCCTGCATATACATACATACAGACATATGCAAAACAGTTCGAGAGTTCATTAAACCTTGGCGATGGAATGCCACCCAGGTTATTGACGTGCCGGCGACAATTGTTATTGTTGACATTCACATGCGTCATCGTTCTTAACTCCAATTTAACAACTCAGTTACAAGTACATGTTGCCACATTTTGTTCTCTTGCTGCCTTTATCAGCGAAAATTCTCACACGCTGAAAGGTATGCTATATATTTTCTACATCGTTCTGCCAAACTAATTAAGTTGGCTGCAGTCGGCCATATTTCTCAGAACCGGATGTGTTCTCATTGCGCGCCCATAAACAATTGGGTTAATGTTTCTGATACCGCCGCCAGCAGGCACCCACGTTCCAGAGCCAGAGATTTGTATGTGATTAGCTGCCTAACTGGGCCAACTTTTTCGCTTGTAGAGTCATTAAAGCGGATGATCCGCCTATTTGACCTATTTCTATATGTATATATCAATAGAGCTTCGATACTCAGTACTCAGCTATATAAATATTACGCTTGATTGATGGCTTAACTGGCACAAGGCTAGAAATAATTGACAAAAACTGTAATCTAGATTAGTTGATAGCTTAGCTCAGTTCTCATCCTCTCTAGTCGAGTTGCCTTCATTGTTTTTATGAGCCAGTTACGGCTCATGCATGTCACTGCAAAAGGTGTTTATGTTAATTTCAGTTCCACAGAAAGGCAACCTAAGGAACCGTCAATTTATGCAAAAATAACAGCCAATGGCAATTATGACTGGCAAAAACGTCAAGTCGGGTCAGCGAGGCGTCTGATAGTAGGTGAAGGACTGGGAAACTTACGTCTTTGTGCGAATCAATTTATTATATCGTTTCTATAGAAAATTGGTTGGAGTTCTGTTTTTTAACAAAGTAACAAGAAGTGTTCAAACTATAACCGCAAGCTGAACATTTGTTTTTCTCTATTAAAGTCGTGGAAAAGACATGAAAACTGTTTGAAAAAGAGTTTGAAACACCGGCAAATGGATAGAACTGTTGCTAAATATCCATTTAATTTTGAAGTTAAGGCCTGAAATGTTAACAAATTTCTAAGCTTTTACAATAATGAAGAGAGAAAAAAATACAGCCAGACGTAAATGGCAGAGCCACTCAACAATGTCATGGCTAAGCAATGAATCAGAGGAAAACCAACCGAGTCTCAAGATCGGACTATGGACTATGAACGATATATATATTTACCACTGATGTAAATCCCAGAGCGAATGATATGGTGTGTGCCGGTAGCCAGACATAAAGGGCATGGCCACTTCATACTCCACTTGAACGTTGGGCGGAGATTGTGGGCGAACTACCAGCGCTGTGCGCTCCAATGCAGGATTGGAGCTGGCCAGCGTACGCTGACGCATAAAAGGTTGTGACTGTAGTCCATTGTTAATGTGATTGTTATTGTTGTTGTTGCTGCTATTGTTGTTGTTGTTGAGCGATTGATTCATGTGGCCGCCAGTTGCTGGAGCTTCAGCAACCGATTGGCCCATGCCAAACCAATTTTGCGCGTTCGTATTGAACATGGCTGTCGGCGTCAGCAACAGCAAATGCTTCTTTATCAAGAACACTAGCAATTTGGAAGGTTGACTATAAATTTTCGAATTATGCTCAAGTCTGACGGAAAACTCGAAATAATGCGATGTGCTGCGACGCTCGACGTGTGTCGGCCCCAAGGGTTGTAGCCCAACTGACCACAAAACTGGACAACGGACGACGTTTTTACGTCCACAACAAAAGAAGCTAGCTCAGTATTTGTTTGGCGGGTAGTTTCTGGTTACCTGTGTATGTATGTGTGTGGTTGAATGTGTGAATATGAAATGAGGTTAAAGGAAGTATTGCTTTGAGTTTTTGTTGCTCAGTTATTGCCTCCACCGGGTCGTCCAATGGTCAACGCACGCTAACCCAAGTCAACTCAAACTCAAGCTAAAGAAACCATCGATTTCTGCGACCAGCTCAATCACACACACACACACACAAACACGCTTACACACATCCATGTTGAAAGGGATTAGAATGTATTACAATAATTTTTATAATAATTAGTCGTTTGTTTATGCCGGCTTTAATTGCGCGCTTGCATGCAGCCTTAGTAGCGGGTCCTAGCGCCAACATATCATAAAATATCAAGTCGTTATGTACATATATAAAATGTATATATAGCGCATTTGCTTGGAGTGTCTTGTCAACAATTCAACTCAAGCTCAGCAGCAGATCAGGCAAACGAAGGTCGCCTTTACATAGTACATATTTCTACTTATAGACAAATCAGCTGCCAGAGATAAAAATCAATACGCAGTGAGAGGAAAAAGTGCAGTCAAGGCACGTTGAAGTGGCCCGGCACGCCTCTGGCAGGCGGATGGGGGAAAATTTGAGGTCTGCTTACTCACCCTGCACCCATCATAGGCAAATATGTGGAAGTGGAGTCCACGGTGCGTATGGTGGTATTGCCACGCAGAACAATCTTTTCGCGTGTGGTGCGTCTGTAGGTCTCCTCGCCGCGCATCTTTGAACTTGAATTTCACGTATTACCAGAAAAAAATATTTCAATTTTCGATATTTTTACTTATAGATTTTTTTTTTTTTTAATTTCACTTGTTTACTTTTGGCCAAAAACTGTTGAAAAATGTTGGCGTCCGTTGTTCCTACAGGCGATGTCGAAATGTGCTGAGAGCGAACGGAAATGCTTGATGCTGCGGAAGCTGTGTGCCAGCAGCCATTGCTCTCATTTGTTGCGGCTCTCTCTTTTTCCTCCTCTATTTCTCTCTTCTCTCAGCTGTGCGAGTTGCGCAACTTGGAACTTGCAGCAAAGCGACGCGACGTCACGACGCGCTGCACAAACGGCCACTAACTGGACGCAATGTTGGCTGGTCAGCAGCATTGCATGTTTGGGCCAAACTCAGCTGGTGAAAATGGTGAACATATTGGGGAGGTTTGCATGTTCGCCCTCTGCTGTTATGCATCTACAACACCATAGAATTTCATATGCTACATGGCCTCTGTTGGTGCAACAGCAGAGCCTGTATATGTTAAATTTTTGTTGCATACTTTGAGTGACTAATATAAACATACATGCGTATATCTAATTTATAGCTATTCTCATAGCATATAAATTAGTCTTATCCAGCTGACAGATCTGTATACGAAAATATGATTTCATTCACTGCCTCCATTTGAGAAATACACATTTGTTGTTTAACCCACTCAGAAGAACAAATATATATGCATCTTTATTGATTGATTTTTAAAAACTACTTATAAATTCGGACAGTAAATGACCATTCGAAAAACAGTATTTAAATTCGTGAAATTTTTTAAATACATTTCACATTATTTGTTTTACAAATTTGTTATTTTGGTTTTTGAAAACTTTGACTTTATTTAAACAGTCAAATCGCATTTAAATAATCGTAAAATCGTTAATTCGTAAAGTATAAATATATATTTTTTGGGCAGTTTACAAAAACAAATGACACACATACATTAAAAAACAAATGAATTATACGCATGTGCTTTTTAAAAAAAATCAAAAACATAAACGCAATAAAAACATTTCGATAGTTTTGTTTAAAACCTAATAGTTTCAAATGTACTCATTTATCGTATATATATCAATATAAACGTAAGTACTTAATAATTATATATTAACCGTTTCTAACAAACACGAGGCACGTCGAAATGTAAGACCACAAAAAAGAATATTAAATTTATATCTTGTTATTGTTTTGTTTCCATTTTGTATTGGGAAATTTGGTGGCTTCAGTTGCATTGTTGTCGACTCGACTTTATAAGGTTGCATGTGTATTGTATGTATATATAGGTATAGATTTATAGTTTGTAATGTATGTAACGCTTGAACGTTTTAACTTTAACAATAACTTTAACGTTGGTAATTATTTGTATACTTTTTTTTTTTCAGAAACTATTATGTCTTGACTGTACTAAAAACGTGCGTTAATCTAACAGCTGCTTTATTATTTATGTTTTGCTTTTGTGCACTAGAGAGATAGTTTTTATTCCTTTTGTTTCAAATTATTTACAACTAGCCCTACAGCTTCTTGCTTTGTCGTTTTCCATGGCCCAAGTGATTTACTGAAATTTACGTGTGGCTGTGCGTGCCTTCCAGGCTTTGACTAGGTTGTACGCGAAGTACAGTGTGAATCCGTGTATCTGAAAGCCTACAAAACAAAAACCATACCAGAACACTCCATACGGAAAACCCTAAAAGAGAAGATTATTTAATTTTCGTTTATGGTAGGTTTTTTTTAAGAGAGTTCACTTACGCGCCATAGAAAAATGTCTGTCTCATCGAGTGCCACGGACTTGTCCATGGTCAAAAACTCCCACACGTCACTCGAGTAATAGGCGAAACAATATAACAGCGGCAGCACAGCCATTACGAAAATTGCAATAATATACTTTTGCATATCGCGCACCTTATTGCCGCGGGACGCTGAGAGGCCAAGAAATGAGGTGAGCAGCGAGGCAGCCCAAACGTACTCCCACCATAGCGGCGGCGGCACCTCCAACTCTTCGATTTCTAGCACAAATATGTCCAAGCGATCCAATATATCCGACGTCAGCTTGGCCAGCATGACAAAGAATAGCAGGGCATGAAAGAAAATGCAGTACTTTAGGCGCGATTTGTTCAACAAGCTGCAAATAGAGAAAAAAATATGTTTAATTTGTATAAGTATTTGTCTCGTTAATTGTTTTCTTCGATTGTTTGGTAGGCTGCAGCCGTTGGCTATCCAAAATGTGTACACAAACAATGTTGTTGTTGCTGTTGTAAACAGGCACACATGCTGACTGTCTCGCTGGCACTTTGCCCACCCACTCTGCGGGTGCTGCCTGGCTGGCTGGCTGGCGGACTGTTTGTCTGGCTGGTGCAGCCCGTCTGCAGCAGGAGTTGCAAGTTGATTGCTGTCAATTGCGGTGTCATGACCTTTTGGGTTTTTGGCAATGCAGGGGCTCAGCTACTTGCAAGTAATTAGATAATTTTGCCAAGATTTTAGAAAGTGTTATTAACCTAATTTGATATGTGTTGGCCACTTTCTGCCTAAACTCGAAGTCGTTGCCGTCGGTGCCCGCGACCATTGGACCGCCGCGAGTTGCCATTTCGGTGCGTCAATTTGATGCCGTTTTTTTTGGAAAATTGTAACTACTTAAACAAAATTTAACTGTCTTCAAGCACTTCTCACAACATTTACTCGGACGATAGGTTGTGGCGGTGGGTCGATTGCGGTGATGTTGATGACACAAGACAAGTGTTGGCTAATTCGAAAAAGACATTTCTCTGTTTAGTGGCCAAATTCGACCACATGAACGTAGTAAATTGTGGCGGTCGGCCAATAGCCGGCTCTAGTGCTGTAAATCGTCATCAGATTTAAAAATAAAGACGCTAAATGCTGATTTAATATAATTTTATGCATCTTTGTAGCTGTACGATTTGCATAATTAAGTACACTTTGGTATGCAAATGTATGCTTTATTGAGCCTAAATTTGGTAAGTGGATATCTTGTAACGTTAGACTTGGAAGTAATTTGCTCAGGCAACTGCGTCACTACCACCTGTTGCTTTTTTGCATTTAAATCCATAAATCAATGCACGAATGACCGAACAATGAAGAGTGCAACAAGCGCATATTTAAAAATAAAATACTACATCCAAAATACCTACTTATTTTTATATTCTGTGTTGTTGCTCTTTCAAGACAATTCGCTACAGTTCTATGCGCTCTTTGTCTGAGCTCTTCGCTCACTGGGGCTACAAAAGTCGATTCAGCCGTTAAAGTGACATCAGTTCTTCGGCGGTATTCTTTAGCACAACGTCTTGACGTGAGGCGCATGCGATCGGCAACGGAGTTTTCATTTACTATTGAGAATAAGCGCAATCTATTGATGCCAGTTATTAACAACTATTGCCCAATATTTTTTGCTGAGATAGGCAGCTGAGTTGCCTACACTCTTTCGTGTCTTATTGTCAATGTGCTGCGCTTAACGGTAAACATATATTTATATAATATTCGTTAAAATTCAAATGACGCTCTTAGCATATTTTGCATTTACAAAAATTATTGTGTGCGCATATTTTATATTATTCCTGCATGTGTGTATGTGCTTAATTTGTCTGTTGATATTCTGCCCAAATTCAAAATTATTTCTGTAGAAATATTTTTGCAGCTGCCATCACATCCGCTTGTCATTGTTGTTAATGCGTTTTCATTGTTTCGATTTTTGGCAGCAACTATCGCAGTTTGTAAATAAACTAAATATTAAATATTAATGCAACCGTCAAGCCATGCATGTTGAGTGTTTGTGTGCCTTACAAGCTTGCGAATGCCATCGATCATGTGATATAACTTAGATAACAGTAAACAAATAACTATTATGAATTGTGCTAAATTATTAAGTGCTGGCGCTCTCTGCTTGTCTCGTTGCAGCCGTTCTTCGTGTATTGAGTTCAATTAAAATAATTTAAAACGCATCGAGTCCAAAGATAGTGTATCCATATCTGTTACCAAGACCAAACCATGTCCGCCCTTGCCGCTGAGAAACGCGCCTCGTTTGCGCGCCGGGCCGAGAGTTTGGTGGAGAGGGTGAGAATTTTGAATACCATATATGAGGTAAACGGTATCAAGTGACCAAAATGCGTGAGATAAACCAATTTATTTTTGCTTTCTGCTCTTTGCTGTTTGTTTTAATTTGCAGTTTGTTAATTGCGACCTCTACAATGAACTCTTACAATAACATTTCGTACTTTGATATGGCAACTTCAATTTCGTTTAGTGTATAAACTGAAATGCAATGTCTTCTCGCTGATATATATTTATGTACATATATATATATATATACTTCTATGTACATATGGGTGATATCAATACTTATTTGATTAGACGTTATGGGCGTGGGTGTAAGGCATTACGAATTTAGACTCGAGCAGACGTGCTTATTTGACTTGGCTCGCTGCCCTGGCTTTGGCATGCTCTGTCAATTAATCTCTTATATTATATGGCCAACCAAATAAACATTTAGATATACATATATTGTGCATGTAGATATAATATGTATGTGTTAGCACTTGGTTGCAATTTATTGCACTAACGATTAGTGAAGCGCATTAAATGTATGACGATCAAGGACCCGACATGTTTACCAACAGGAAGAGTGTTTGCTTGGTTGTTGTTGTGTGTATTCGTTCCATTACGAAATGGGTTTGCCATCTCAATTGACTCTTTGTTTCTTAATTACTCCAGGGCTATGTAATTTTGGCGCAACGTCAACGCCAATGACTGTGTGTTTTTCTCTAATAGCCTGAGATGTCGATGATTGTGCTCTGTTTGGGGCACAAAAAAGTCGATGTACGCTTGAGCTAAAAATAAATCTCTCAAATTAAACAGTTCACGAAATTGGCTCTATAATTGTGCAAAGCGAATGCGTCTTTATCGGGCTGAGTAGCTCTCGCAGTGACATCAATTGAATGAAGACAGTGCAATAAATAGTTACATCGATGTATTTACATATCTATCCATATATGCATGCTCACATAAAAAGCTGTAGCATTAATTAAGCGGGCGAAGCAAACACAATCCATTTACGAACATACACATACATTTATACACACATATATACTAATATATATACAAATACAGTTGGCCATTGACCGAACATATAATTTGTATTGTAGCAACAGCAATTTTAATTGAACGCCAAATGGTGTGTGTAATGTTTAGACAGACGAGGGCAGCTCTTATTGTTCCGTTAAATATTAATTATTACAAATATATATATAGAATAAAAATTATACAATTTTCTTCAGTGTTTCTTCGAATATTTCTTTAAAATATTTTTTCGAAGTATTTATCAAAGAGTTTCAGACTGAAGAGTTTTCAGTAGAAGAATTTCCTCTAGGTACTTCTTCTGTCTTTAATGCTTCGCTGAACGATCATTAAATATTTTCACACATTTTGCTTTTCTTTACTTTACTTTAATTCACTTCACTTTACTGCACTGAACGGCTGACCTCCACTAGGCCTGGACGACTGAAGAAAAGCTGCAGCTGCGACCCTATATATAGGGCGACTTTCACTCAAAGTCTTAGTCGCGCTCAAATGTTGAGCCCGACAACAGCTAAGGATCGTAATAGTCGATCTTTAAGTGACCAATAGGAACAGCCTCTGCTGCGTCAAGCATTTAGCTTCGTAGGAGTCGTAGCAGTCGATCTCTAAGTGGCCAATGCTCTCTGCTCTCTGCTGCTACAATTATTTGAGTATTGTTTGACTTAATTATAAATATGAGATTAATACTGCAACATACATATAGAAAAATATGATCAAATGACAAATGATCTTCTGTAGCCCTTCTTCGTCCCTTGTATTTGTTAAGCAGAGAGACAGACGGATTGAGAGAGATATATATCCAGACAGACATACGAACACACAATAGGATACAAACATGCTTTGATCATTACGCTGCCGAATATTCTTGATAAATAGCTTATGTATATTGATGCATACATATTTATAATGCATACATATTTATAACATACATATTTATAATTCTTCTGATATATAATTCTCTTAGGGACCTGAACTTGTACATAGTCTGCCTGGATGGGAATTGATATTCCATCCCATACCTATTATACCCTGAACCCATTGAAAATGGAAAATTAAGTCGTTAATTGTTATTATTGCGATTATCAAAATCTTTAAAATAGCATTACATTAAATTCAACGTCATAAATATTAAGAAACCCTAACGATTGAGGCTTACGATTAAATGGCGCTAATAGAAAATCAAGTATTAGCTGCCGTAAGGCGAAAGCGTCCCTTATACGAATATGCAAAAAGGTATCAATCAAGTTGCATTAACTGTGCTCAGATTTATTCGAACGTTGCTGGCGCTCTTATCATGACACGATGATGGTAATGTCTTTATCGGTACTGGCATATTTGCCTTATCGAAAAAAGCGAAGCAAATAATGAAAAAGTGGGATGAGAAACCGAGGCATTTAGCCAAGCGAAAAGAAGAATGCGAGGAACAAAATAAACGAACGATAAAAAGCTAATAAAGTGCAACATAAATAAATGCGTGCGTAAACATTGTTTGAATACATCGAAAGATAGAGTGAGTAAGAGAAGGCGAGAGAGAAGGCAGAGGGCTAGAAAGAGAGAGAGAGGGCGCCGGAGAGGGATAAAGAGATAAAGAAAGAGAAAGAGGGCTCGTAACTTGATTGCTTGCCAAAAAAATATTTGCAGCAAAGTCGGAGAGTTTGTACTTGATATTTCTTTGCTCTTTTGCTTTTTGGTTTGTATATACTTATACAAACATATATCCTATCGCGGGGTCTTAAAGTGTCGTCTGTTGTTTTGTCGACTACTTTTTCGCTTTTGTGTGGCTGAGAATTTGCCGTGCTGGTTTATAAGTAATTTCATATTGAAAGCCAAGCACTTGATTCTGTCCTGGGGTCACACTTAAAGCGCCTTCAGTTCAATTCATTCTGTTCTTGAGCGTCTCGATTTTAAGGAGTCTGCTGATACTTGAGTATGTTTATCTAGGATGATAAGTATTTTGCTTAAATTAAAACGAGGATTAAATTTCATGCGCAACCGATATCAATCAAATATTTATATAAAGAAATACAAATTTATTTTGATTGAAATTCTATAAAAATAATTAAAAATTCAAATCAAATTATTCTATGCTGTGTGTGACCTGCTTTGTTTGTTTGTTTGTTTTCTGTGTTTCAGAAGCATTTCTATTCTCATAGCAAAATAATGTGATTATGTGTTTAAATTTGAACTTGTCACACAATATTTGTTTTGGGTTTGCTTATAATTCATTTAAGCTGCATATTAATTTTTAATTGCCTTGTTTGCAATGTTGTCAACAAATTATGTTCCAATTTTATTTGCAATTTGAGCTTTCGTTGTTATTGCCGCTGGCATCGTTAAAGCTCAAAGAGAATGTAAATCACGTAACAATGTGTGAATGAGAAGTGGATTACACGAACACGTTGCGTATACGCCTCGTTGTTGGCCATTTATTGCACAACATTTTTATCAGCTATGGTGAATAGCAAAGGCAACGAGTTAAGGCGCGAATGTAATTTCTTAATTTCAATTTAATTAAAGCAACAGAGTGAAATAAAAAAGGAAAGTGATTAATTGCAGAGCGCGTGGGGTAAGGCAGATGAGGTACAAAAAGCGAAAGAGATAAAGAATTAAAAAAAAAAAAGAAAAAAAGTAACAATAACAGAGGATGTCGATAATAAATAAAACGTAAATACTGTATATAAAAAGTAATTTAAAAATTGATTACACTACTTTTGCTGCTGTTGAAAGTAGTTTTAATTCAATCACCTTTAAATATAAATAAAATTCCGATCCGATTGAAATAAGTTATATACATATATGATAGAAACTTTATATCGATTAGACGCTCAGCTGTGACTTGGCTCTTAGACGGGAACGTACAGACATGGGCAAATCTATCTACCTCGTTATCTTAACTGAGAATGTGTATTAAGGTCAAGAGCGTTGCACTTTATTGCAATACCTTTACTTGATATAGCCCGTCATGATACGCTACAGGGTATATAAAATGTGAAAACACAACCACACAACAATAACAACAACAGACGTCTGAGCACACAAATAAACAATATACTAACAGTAGCGACATCAACTACAACAACAAGAACAAAAATAATGTCAGCTACAATTACCCAGGCAGGTGCGCAAAGCAAATAAACAAGAACAACTGCAGGTAGAACAACTGCAAAACAAACTACATAGAAAAGACGCGTTACCTAAGCGTTAGGGCGTTTTGTGGGCGTGTCGGAGGCGTGACAATAAGTAAACGCAACAAAAAGCCAACAAACAATGGCAAAAAAAAGTTTGCCATGCGCTCGCTCAGTGCGGTGCCTAGTCGAAGGCAGAAAAGCTGCCAAGCAATTGAAAAGCCCGTAAGCCTCTTGCCAAAGGCAACCAGCTGTGTCAACGGGGGCGTGGCACAATGTCTGTACTCCCTGAATGGCTATGTAAATAAGGGCCAGATAATACAAAAGTGTTAAACAAAACCATTTGGAAGAAAAGAAAGCTGCCTAAGTTCAGCCAAATGAGATTGTGATTGAGTTTCGCTTGATTGACTCAAGTTGAACGCAAAACAAAAACAACTTAAAGGTAAGCGAACGATTAGGGATTTGATTAGCTTAAGGCGTAGCACTTGTTGAGGCAAAGGTTGAGAAATGAGTTTGCTACGAAAAAATAGGGAGAATAGGGAGAAAGTTTATTTATTCGAACTGAACTGTTGTTTTAAATTTTTTACAGAATATATTGAATTTCACTATAGCTCGTTAAACAACTTTTTCTATTTATATTAATATGAAGTAGTTGTCTTTATGAAGACCCGTGGCTTCCTTAACCTTGTCCCAGGCAGATATAAACTAAATTTTAGTATTCTCTAATCAACTCTATTAAAAAAACATGAGCTGGCAAAAAATATGTAACGCTAAATATTCATATTAAAGTTTGCTGTCGTAATTTGAATTTTAACGAAGCTCAACCCATGGATTATGCCCCAGTGTCGCAGTTTTTATGCAGGTTTTTCCAACGACACTTTTTCTGCTGTGTCAGTGCGAAAAGGAAAACAAAAATGGTTTGAAAAAGAAAAACTCATCAGACTTATGGCCGTGCTCATTGACAGCCGTGATATTCACGGGTGAACGTGAGCAGCATTTCACATTCACACATTCGCATTCGTATTCACTTCTTCATTATTTTCGCGCATTGTTTCACGGCTGGAGGATTCGTTTTTCTTGTCCTCTGTTTATTATTTATGTATATATATATTAAATATGCATATGTTGATAGTTGAACTATTTCGCCATCTAGCAAATGCATTTTTAGCATGCGACTGTCATTGTGTGTTGCTCTATGCCTGTGACAGACCCAGATCTGCGTGGGAGTGAAGGACACTCTGCCTTTTTGCTGGCTTGACCTACGCCACGTAAATATCAAATGCGCATATTTTGTGCGACTCTTTGGCGGAAACGGCATTTGGGTGGCTTTCGCAGCTAGCTGGATAAATGAATGGCGATGGCGGTTTTCTTCTTTTTCTGTCAGCTGGCAAATTAGCGCATCAAAACAAAAAGGCGCTTAGAACGGACAACAACAATGGCGACGGCCTGCGCCATAAAGAGACGGCAAAAACAATGCCTCTGAGAGCGAAAGCTAAAACAAAAGCAATCTTATATATTACATGCACACACACTCGCACAACACACACATACACATTTACAGTGCGTGTGTGTCGAAATGTGGATGGAGCTCGCAAGTAGGCAACGATATTTCGCAATGTGCTTAAACACTTGGCGTGGGCGTCAACTGGTGTTGCCAGATTGTTAAATAATAATAAATGAAAGGCAACTAACCAAAGAGAAGATTAATCAATATGAACTTTCAGTATATTGAAGGCAGTCAAATAGAAGTTTAGTTGATGAATTTGTTTCAAAATTTAGCTCTTACATTTTTTACCACAAAGTTTCTTACAGAAATAAGACAAGACATATTCATATATTTAGTACAATGAATTAAAATCAAACATAAAATATAGATGTATCATAAACATTCATTTATACTAAAAATAACTGAGTTCTGCTATTCCATCTCATTTATGGCAAACCATTAATTTTGTTACAAAACTATCTGGCAACGCCTTAGAAACTGACAGCCCACCTGCCTGCCTGTTTGCCCTACAGCCCAACAGCGGCGCTCTGACACCCCCCACAACAAAATTTAATGCCTTATTTTGCGTCGCAACATCTTGGGATGTTGTACCATTACCATTACCCACACACGCACACACAGACACACAAATTCACACATACACACACCAGCATCAACGACAGCTACCATTACCATAACATCTTTTGGGCATTTTGTTTTGCTAGCAGCTTCGTAGCGGTCGCAGCGACGCTTCGTACCTGCCTCGTTGTCGTCGTCGTTGGCGCTTCGTGTCTCTTCCGGCGGCGTCATCGCATCCAAGCTGCGCTGA